CGGTCTAGTTCTATCAAGAAATTGAAGCCGGAGCAAGAGGAATGTCTAGCAAATGTAATCACTGGAAAAATTGTGGCGCTACTCCCCACGGGGTCCATTAGCGGCAAAGGAGCTGGCTAGGCTAAATGCTAAATGCTAACGACAGACTTGGGCGCATTACATACTGTACGTCACGGTAACTCAGATCCAATCGTTTCAATCTGTAAAAGGAGTTAACCCCTCCCACCTGTTAACGGAGCTCAATGGAGCACCTACAGACCTTAGTACGAAATGTAATTTGTACTACGGTGACGTACGACCAGGCTAGGTTACTCTCTGTCAGACTCCAATCCTCAGTTCTCCTGTCCCAGTCCAGCACGATCCCGCCCGCAGGAAGAGTGGAGTCCTCTTCCGGCTGTTGCACATCTGTGCCTTCACACCTGCTGCCAAGCAGTCTGTATTTAAACAGTGTCTCTCTTGTCTGCACTCAGCTTTCAGCTTGTGCTGCAGCCCTCCTTCGAACATGACAATTGTAGGACATGCTTTTCATTTCGTCTGTTCATCACTTCAGCTTCCACCAACAGGGCATTAAAACAACCATTAAGATCACACAGATGATTAAAAACATAACCTAATGTACATTTAATATCAAAATTAAAATGGCTGATTTTCTAATAGTATTCTTCAGTATCAGTGTGTACATATGATCCTTTATACTGTATGATGTGACACACAGCTCTTTGTCTGTCTCCTCTCATTTCTAATAGATGCTCCAAGCCAAACATAACATCAATAATGCACCCCATGTTCATATGGCTTTTTATGGTTGAATAAATCTATAGGCTAGAGACATGTTTTACTGTTTTACTCATGTCACAGCGCCAGACCATAGAGAATGATGTTTGGGATGAAATATATCAAAGTAATGGTGTGGCTTTTGTAGATGCACTGCTAGTCCACCATTTTCAGTGGATATATAAAATCATCTCTTAAAATATGAGAAAATATGGTCATTGTAAATCTAAACCAAATATCTTTATCTTTATCTTTAACTGGGAAAAACCTCCCAAATAAATTCAATGTAAAAATATGAAAAAAAGAATACTAAATCTGCCAATAGTAACTATTAATATTATAAAGCTGTTATCACAATCTGCATTAAAAAAACACCAACAAAAACCCATAACATTTTCTGAGTGAAGTTTGAATAATACATCATTTATGTTTTCATTAAAAGCTGATTTTAATTTCCCACACCAAAAATGTCTACATTTCAAAAATCATGTCATTACATCATTACATTGCTCTGGATCCGTTTATATAATAGAAAGAGGAGCTAATAACACATAAGGTAAAAGTACTTTTTGCGTGGGCTGTTGCCTGATCACAAAAATGTGATTATGGTCATAGCTGCTGAGTCCATGTTTTAGGTAATAAACAATTAAAATGCAATTATTCCATTTGTGTCTATAGAGAACAATGCAGTCTTTTCCACTTGCAACAGTTGTTCTATAACCTGCCTTGAATCAACTTTAATGTATTTATGCCCAAACCATAACCAAAGCCCGGTGCCAGTGTGCCACAAAGCAGCTGAAAAATGCTCCTTTCAACCCACACCAGGAAACGTGTCAGCAGGATTTTCATTTTTACACAGCTCTCTCTCCCAAACAGAAAAACAGCCAGTATGTTACACCCCAAAAGTTTACGGCTGTCCTCCAGGGTGCGTTCGGCTCGGACATGTGCCCGCTGCCGCCCACTCAACCCATAGTCATTCCACCTCTCACTAGGATTTATAGACGGTTACTAAAACAAGATTCAGTAGAGCAAGTATCATCTAGAAGGGAAAAATGGTATGTGTTGGTTTAGGTCAGTATATGTAGACATCGTGTACACTTTTATTCTTTCTGCGTTTTTCCATATGACCCAGGTATCATTTGTAAATTGTAAAAAAAATTATAACTTAAGTAGTAAGTTATACAGTGAGCTTTCTTTATACTTTCACAGACCAAATCCACAAAACGCTTCACAATAAAAGTAAATTGTACTTCTATGCTGGCTAATGAGAAGAATTAGTGGTTTCTAATAAATTACATTCTATTGGCTTAAAAAGGTTTGCTAATGCTATTATGCTATTTAAACATGCTTAATGTCAGGCATTTTCCTTTCAATAGAAATCAAGTTTGAAAATTATTGTTTTGCAATTCCATTTCTCTTCGGGGAGTGCTCAGTAAGAATTTTTTTTGATACTTTAAATATTCTTGTTAAGGACAATCAATCACACACTACCTCTTTATAGAACTCTCAATATGTCTCGTGGGAAAAACAAAAACAAAAACAACAAAAAGCTCTAATGCTCAGATGTGAACCTGACATCTGCACTCACCTCACAGCAAGAGGGTCCCAGGTTCACATACCAGACTTGGTGGGAAATTTCGGTGGATTTTATCGCCCTTAAAAGTTGATTTAACTTTTAACGTGTAACATTGACGAGGGAGAGTAATTCCTCTGAAGGCATAGGCTGTCATTTTTTGCAACTTTATTCTTGTGTTTTTTTTCTCCAACCTGACTGATTCTGTCACTTTATCACCCTGTAACCTGGATCACTTTATTATGTCATAACTCACTTTTTTAATTAGTGTATACTTATGTATTAGAATTATATTAAGATTATTTTTTCGACACTAATCTATTTTTGTCTATTTTATCACTTGTTAATGCACCTAATGGCAAAGCAAATTCCTAGTTTGTGACTTATGGTTAAAAAACTAACAAAGGCATGATTATGATCCAGATTGTGATTCTAATGGACACACTGAAACATGACACTTTGCTATTATGCTTAAATTGTTAAAAATATGATCTCTCAAAACTCTCCTACAACCATTGATTTCCCAGTTAAGACCCAATGCACATTTGTACTCTGTCCCACAATGGCTTTCCTTCAATCAGCTGAGCCTGGAGCAACATTCCGCACAAAAAGTCCCTCATAGATTCCCGTTAATTGGCCGTGAAGCGTCTGAATGAACTGGCTCGTCTTTGTTGGTGGATGGTACGGACTATTCCAGCAGTAAACAGTCAACAGAAGAGCGCTCTGTGTGGCTGCGCTTTCACACTAAGCACATGTTTAAGTCTCATTAACTTTATAGGCCTGTAAAATGCAGGTTGAACGCCCTATGCAAAACAAATACGTAATTCAGCGGCGGAAGGGACTTGGGAAACGGTTCAAACTTAACCCTAATTCTTTTTGTTGGTCTAACACATTCTAAACGTTTTGGCAAAGCATGTGACAATGAATATTTGGTTTATTCTCTGATTTATATTTGTATGTTGTTAAAATTTTGCACATAGTAAAGATAAGAGGTTTCCAATTGTTGCAATGAATAATTCAAGAACAGTATCAACTATAGAAAGTGATTTTTTGGCAACATAATCATACTTCTAGACACTTGATCATATTATAATCTGCTGCACTGTTAAAGGTCTATCAATTTTTTAGCCTTACCTTTTTACAAATTGTGTGCGCCGTGAGCCAAAGCTAATTCTGAGTTAATTAGAAAATTCTGATTCTGATTCTAAATGTTAAACTTTCAGATGACAAACATTTAAAATTATGTACAAAAAAAAATGCAGCAGTGATCCCATCGTTCTATCCAGGCTTATATTCAAACCGACTTCCTTCCTTTCCCTTTTGTGGCTACGTTATAAAACAGCCGTGACGTATCTTAGCACAATTTTAGAACTGACATTTCCGCACTGCATTTTGGAAGTGTGTGCGGTGTCACTTTGTAGGAAACCCAAATTCTCCACACCTCTTGTATCTTCTATATTCTCCCTGTGACCTATTTAGCAGCAACAGCAGCAGCAGCAGCAGCAGCAGCAGCAGCAGCAGCAGCAGCAGCAGGGAGGAGATGTGCTCTGATCGCAATAAAGAACCCACAATGTAATATCCCATATGAAGCTGCAGCCATGGACATCTATTTGGAGCATGTGTCTAAATCGTTGTCACTTTCATTTATGTGAAGGCAGTAAAAGAGATTCATTTGAGTTGTAAAATCTAAAGGGAAAAATACTGCTTTTGAGCGCCCTCTGTTGGTGTAAAGTATTTCCACAATGCTGCAGGATGTAGAAGCTGACAGAGGCGATACCATTCTTAACACTGTCAGCTTGTCTGTTTCATTATCGCTATTTATCTGGAACATTTTGTTGGTGGACGAATTGTGTATTGTATTAGACTCAAAAATGTCTAATAAAATACACTTTTGAATGATTTTTTGCCGCCATATATTAGATCTCGTTACAATTCTATCAAGAATGTTCCTTTGTGTTTCCTACATGTATCTAGTGATAACCTGATTGTGGCCCTGGTCTCCTCTGGTTGTTCGTTTGAATAACTTCTCTTGGCTCAGATTTACCAGGACGAAACAAACTGATCTTTTCAATGGTCGCTAAAAGGTGGAAGCCCCCTCATCCGCTGTCTCAGTGACAGTGGAATATGATATTTGTTGACATTTTTGGCACTGTCCACGCCAAGAAAAAGGAGAGTACTTTTACCCTGTGGAACGACATTAACATGTATGTTTTATTTTCTCTCACTGGACCTGTCCATGTGCGCTTCCACTTTTTTGTTTTTAAAGATAATATCTAAGTAATCTTTTCTGTCCCACCAAAGCAATATATTTCTCTATGTATAATTTATCAACACACATTGGTCATACCGCTCCCTATGGACCAAAAGGCTCCTGTGTGTTTGCTATCATTGTATTGCCTGTGTTTGAACTGTTTGATTCTGATGTCCTCCGACACAACCCCCGTTGGGATTTAGGGCTACACAATAAAAATTTAATTGAGTTTATTCTTTAAAATTGGATTTTAACAAATGTTTTGTCTCATGTCTCTCTGGGATTCCTTGAGTATTATTGCCTATTTAACTCTGCTCCTTTTTTTTATTACGTTGAAGTTTTCTGTGACTGTTTTGTTGTTCACGTAAATGTATTATGATCTTTTCATTGTTGTGTTTTCAGATTCTGTTTGACCAGGCCCAGCGCTCCATCAAACAGCAGCTGCACAACTTCATAAAAGAGTGAGTATTTCAGAAAGTCCCACAAAAACACGTTAAATATTTAGAGCCGGTGGAGGCAGAAGCACAAACAGACCTGCTCTACCTCCGTTCTACCTCTGCAGACCTTTTTGGGGTTCTGAAATATTCAAGGGAGCACAGCCTTTTGGCACAGATTTAAGCTGCTGTGGCTGACCTCGCTTGACTTTTGGGACAATGAGAGCGACGCAGAGAGGAGGAAGGACGTTTGCTGAGCTTGTTGCCCTGGGTTTTGAAGATTGGGGAGAAGTTGACTACATTTATAGTGTTTTATACAGTGTTAGTGACCTTAGTAGTACTTGGGATGGGCAGGTTTTTGGTGCTGGTTTCTTTTTATTTGTATAAATCATTGTCTTAGAATATTAAGAATGTGTCTTTGAGGTAAAACTGATTCAAGTCTCCAGTAACTTTGCAGTGGAGAAGTTACTGATCTGAATGGTGTCACATCTGCACAATATTTATTTACAAATGCTTCTTCAACATTTTCATTGAGCAAACTTGCCTCACCACATCTATATGTAACTCATAACTGCAGACCTGTAAGAAAATAATTATACTTTAAGTAGAAAATATATGTTGATCACAAATACATCATGACTGACAAAGGAGATTTTGTCAGTCATGAAGTCAGAAGGCTCATGTGGATGATTCTAAAAACAACTCCAGGTCTATTTTTGATGAGGACAAATTATTTTAAATGGTTAAAAACTATAAAAAAAAGTCTATTTTGCCAATATGTCTCCTTTAGGATGGCACATGCCAAGTTGCATCTCATCTTCAAATTGAGCTGATGTCGTGTTTTGCAGTGACGTGCGCAAGTTTAAAGAAACAAAGAAGCATTTTGACCGAGTGCGCGAGGACATGGAGATCGCACAGGTGAAGAACGCTCAGGCTCCAAGGACCAAACCTCACGAGGTGGAGGAGGCCAGCAGCGCCCTGAACATCAGCCGCAAGTGCTTCAGACACCTGGCCCTGGACTACGTGCTGCAGGTCAGAGGGAACACTGCCTTTAAAGTTTATACACTACTGGCACACATGACTAAGATATATTCATTCAATTATACTTCATTTCAAGTCTATTTATCACTGGTATCACTGTGATCATAAAAAAATGCTAAGGAATGCATTAACTATGTGACAAGTTTTGGGGCTGGGACTTCCCAAAATAGTGTTTTTTCCAATCCTAAGGCCACAGTAATAGAGTTGGTTATTTGAAAGGATACACATAACCACAATGGGACGTTCGTTATCTTTCCTTTCCAGATCTCTCTAAGTCCAAACCCGCTCCAATGTTTAAACCTGACACAACTCCTACACGACAAAGACATAAATATTTGGACAGGAGTGGAAAATGTCCCTTGCGTGACTTTGTGGCCTGACGTCTGTGCTCTCGTCTGCTCTGTGACACATTCTCTTCAATATTAAACATAACAGGGAGGTTTTTGGACCACCGCTTGTAACCCCACTTACCCACAAAGCCCCAGGGTTCACCACGTTCTGATTACTTTTGACTGGAGTGCTCTTTTCTCTTTATTTCCTCTCCTTCCTTCCGTATCTCTTCCCTCTTGAAATCTTAATTTGAAATGTCTGGAGTCGCAGAAGGTCAAATCTTATCGGGTGATTTGCCGTGATGCCGCAGCGACCTCTTAAATGTGAGGTGACCTCACTAAAGTTTGCATCATCAGCGATTTACAATGCAAAGCTCTTAACGGTGAAAGCCCATAGAGGACCCAGTCTGTTCCTTGAAAGGGAAAACTAAAATGGATCACATGTGTAAGATCATCAAAAGGTCATACGCTTATGCAATGGGTCTGAAAAATATAGAATTTTTTTAAAGAATAGTGGTCAATACTAAACATGTCGATGTCCAAACCGATAGTTCTTCTCAGCGCCACTAGAGGGAGACACATATGTATAAAATTATTAGAAGTGTGGACTGAATGTAACTGAACCATTTTCTCCACAGATAAATGTCCTCCAGGCAAAGAAGAAATTTGAAATCCTAGATGCAGTAAGTATTATTGATTTCATGACTGCCGTTTGTAATTCAGTTGATTATAAAAACATATTTGCAAATCTGTTCCAAAAAACCCCAAAAACGATCCACCATTTTCAATACCAATCAAACTAAACTTTTACATCAGATACATACAATTTTGGAATACTTTGACAGCCACATAAAATAAACAAATTATGAGGTTAAAGACTTACAGGTGCTTACATACATTTCCAACATATATGTAAACTAATGTATAAATAAATTCGAGAAAATCAGACCACAACGCTGTCTACATATTATTAGAAAACATGTTATCTTTGCACACTTGTAAGAACGAGCCTTGTGAGTCACTATTTGAATACCCTGAATGAGGCTGATCCTCTCTTTTACTCTTTTCTGTCTGAAAAAGCAAACATAGGAATAGAACCAAACTACTTTGAGAGCCAGAAACCATTTTTTTGTGTTTTGAAAGTTAATTACCCCAGCTTTAACTACTTATCTGGAGATACATATCACATGAATGATATTTAACACCAACACAGTTTGGTGATGTGTAACGACCCCCTTATTTTAAACTCATTTTTTGACTTAATTCTAACTTTGTTTCTTCCCAGATGTTGTCATTTATGAACGCTCAGTATTCACTCTTCCATCAAGGCTACAACCTGCTGGACGAGATCGATCCGTACATGAAGAAGCTAGCCGCGGAGGTCAGTACTTTCCTCCCTGATCCACATTACTAATTAAAAGTGCCATCGCTGCAGTTACATAAACGGTTTTGGACTTGTCACATTTGCCACGACTGGCTGCACAGCGAGGAACAATCAATGCAGCATTATCTAACCCTGGGCCACTGTTTTAAATGACACACATTGGCTTTGTGCTTGTTTTCAAAGGCTGAGGTGAATTATGGTTTTAATGTGGATGTTGTGTCTTTGTGCTTCGAATTGTAGTTGGATCAGCTAGTGATTGATTCGGCCATGGAGAAGAGGGAAATGGAGCATAAACACGCCACCATTCAGCAGAGGGTGAGTGTCTGTTGGACTAAATTACACTTATTGCCAATGCTTTTTACCCGGGTTGATTTGATAAATAGTAGAATCAATAAATAATTTCAAAGCATTTTTACATTTTACCTGAATTATTTACTCTCTCAATTTGATTTATTGAATATCAGAATCAGGTCAACAGACTTTGTCCCATTACGTCACAGCAAACGTCATCACCACAGAGTGCACACATTACACACATTAAGAAACAAAAGGGGAAGACATCAGAGAAGTTTGTGTCAGTGACCATGTACTGTACAGGTGGGAGGGAGAAGGCCACTTGCACATGCAGCACAATACTCAACTATGAGTGGTAATTGGAAAGGAACATGTTATTGTCAATTTTACACCATATATCATGTTGAAACAAGGCAAACACAGCATCGAGTCAGTTACTTAAAAGATACCAGTGACATGTTTAGGTCAATTCTGTGTGTTATGCCCCTAGTACTTCTTGCTTGTGTCTGCAGTCCAAGCCGTCTGCAGATTAGACCTATGTCCCTCTGTAGAAGTGTTTAATTAATCTGTGTTGAGGCCCATTCTCATTGATTAAAGCCGTAAACCAGGGTTAAGCAGGCGCTTCCACTGATCCTGATCCTGCTGTTGTCTGCAGCAAAGGATCAGCGCCTTAACAAGTCCTGCAGGGGGCTGCTTTTAGTGCTGATATCACCAATTACTACTGCAGAAAGACTACAGTAACTTACTATAGCAATAACTGAACACATAAGAGCAACACAAACATTCAATGTACTTTCAGGTTTCAATCTAGTACTTTGAGGTTTTACAATTATAGGCAGTAATCAATTAGGATTTTTTTCTGCATATTTTGTACATGGAATATTTCTGGTTTCTTTGTTGTAGTGATGCTTACATTGATAAAAGGGAAAATTTGTCCTGCAGTTTTCTATTGGAAGTCATTGAAGTTGTGTCTTAATATTGAATTTTAACATTGCCAAAATCCATATTGTATTATTTATCATGTATTATTGACAGACAAAAAATCACAATGGTCTTCCTAAACAAATATATATATTATATATTATAACCACACAAATAATATTACTGGACATCATGCGGGGTCTTCAAAAATAACCCCCTGGAAAGCCACTTTAAGGATAAAAAGTGAGAGATAATGGTGAGCTGCCTTGGACCTGGTTCAGTTACAGTAGCTGCCTAAACAAGTATGCATGTACCATAGTTGTAGGCACATGAATAATCAAATTTGAAACTTCAGATTATCTGTAATTCCTTAATCTACTGGGGAGTTTCTGGTAAGAGGATGGTGAGACCACTGCCTTTTATCTTGCAGCACCAGTGTTGGTGAAACATGTGCTCAATATTAATGCCGCATGCCTGTACATTGCTAATGCTCCTGTCTGTCACATTCTGTTCAATAATTCACTATTTCTCGTCTGGCTTCTTTGGTGATAAGTGAGCAGCTGTCAGACAGAAGGCACAATATTGATCTGTTTTTCCTTGGAATGTCTGACCCCAGGGGAACGGCTAACAAGCTCTCTGTGGGACACTTAAAAAGGAGGATTAATATACACTACAGGAATAATAAACTACAGAAAAATGAACGGATTGAAACAAATGTGTAAAGTCTATTGAATAGATAAACTTGTAAACTTTGATGCTTAAAACATGGAAGTAAGAGTTGTCCAAAAACGTAGCTCATTATCCTTGCCGTGTGTGAACAGTGTGAATGTGAGCGGTTGCAAAGTCAAGCACAGAGTTGTGGTCTTGCTTCTGTCAGTCTGCCCTTGGGTAGCTGTGGTCATGGACCATTTTTATTTACAACAGCATGGCCCAAATGACAGGGCCACTTTAGTTAGCCAGACTTGTCGAGGGCTGCATTATAAAATAGTTTTGAGTGAATTTAGGCTGCTCTGATCCTTAAATTAGGTATGATATTGTCCACAATAATTGGATTCTGGATTTTGGACTACATATGAAAACTAGTTTGGTAGCTATATTTATTTCCGGCATATTTACAATTGTTCTATACTGATGTTCATTAATGTGCATTGTCCCTATCAAATAAATAAATAAGATAAATAAACAATGATTCATATTTGACGGAGTTGACTGAATGTAAAAGATGATGATCAGCGTCATTAGTCATGTCTGCATTTTTGTGCCATACTCACAAGTTCATGTTGCTATAGTCACACAAAGTCGGAACAGACACGTTACAATGAGGTATATCTGCATTTGCAGAGATGAAGTTGGCTGGATGGCACAGAATGTATGTTCATGAATTGGAAATGTAAGGTGCAATGTAAATACAATGTGTTGTTTTTCTGAAGTACAACAGTTTAACTGCCCTTTGTTTCTTTCTCTTTCCCCCATGTTGCTGCTCTGTCTTCAGACCCTCTTACAGGTATGTGCACTTATTATTCCAAACAAAATATGTATGTCTAAATTCCTAAGTCTGACGATCCATATAGAACAGTTTCCATGATCTTTGAAGTTTTGCATTTTCAGACTTGTACGGCTTTGGGTAAAACCATGCTCCATGAATAATTTACACAGGGCAATTAGAGCCACTGAGTTTGAGATTATATTGTATCATAGTGAACGTGAAACTGTATTTTAAACTGTACATGAAACAGACTGTGGTCAAAGAAAATGGGCAGAGGTTGGATGTTTAAGTTGACTTCATATGTAACTAGAAGGAATAAATGAATGTGCATTATCATAATAATATAATGATTATATTATTTTATAACCACATTTTAACCTTGTGTTTTGTTCATACATGGTTTGTCCAAAAGGATTAGGTTGTAAAGGAAAACACTGGTATGAGCAATATCATCTAAACAAGATGGTTGTTTGCATTTGGCATCTAAATATTGAGAGACAGAGGAACTGGAAGTGCACTTTGTTCATAGTTGTTGTTTGTACGACAGTTGACACATCTCTGGTCTTTGGTTGAGACATTCTCTGGTCTCTGAGAATGATTATAAAATCATTGCAGTAGATGATTATTATGCTAAGGTCAGGAACATACCGTATATTTTTAGCTGCTGTAAATGGACTACGTAGTTCACATGATTAGGATTAAATGATCTCGTATCAACTGCTTATAAATCCATCATTACCTCCGCCAAGTCTTGTCTTGTTTTATCTTAGTTAGTTAGTTGCCAACATAACTCAAAAGGTAATGGGAGAATTTAATGACATTTTCAGGAATTCTCTGGACTGGAACAAGGAAGAAATGATTCAATTTGGCAGGTGATAAGGACTCTGTCTAAATCAACAAAAAACAATATTTATGTTGATTGTTGATGATTTGATAATAGATTTTAACCTCTACAGTGCGTTTCCAATAGAAAAGTAAGTGGCCCTTCCTATGATACAAAACATACAATAGTATATTAGTAATTTGGCCTGAAGAAGAATGTTCTGTGTAGTTGGCTCCACTCTACTAAAGCACTGATGTCATTGTCTCAGCTTTGCACAATTCTTCAAATGGGATTTTCTTGTTCCTGTCCTTGTCGAACACAGCGGCTGAGTAATAACCCCTGAGTAAACTTTGCAGAGGACAATGGAAGTGAAGGCAGTCTGAATGCCCCTGCAGAGGACTCCCGTCGCTATAGCCGCATCTGTAAATGCCACGACCATTTGTTTTTACTGCAATAATGGAGAGGTCATCTACCACCTCCTCCTGCAAACTGGAATATCTAATATCCACTTCTATATAATGTGTTGTACCGTAGGGAAAAGCGCAACCAGGGACAGGAGTTGAAAATTAGCATTAGCTCTACACACTGTATGTGTCGCACCCGTTGCATCTTTCATGCTGTAACTATGCATGACCACATTGTCCCTATCAAATAAATAAATAAATAAATACAGGAAATGATCCATAATGTTTCAGATGAATAATAATCATCCTGACCCATTATACCCACAGTATAATGTACTACGACATTAACTGTGACTAGTAAGTCATCTTTTATTCATACAGATTTTTTTTTTTTTTACAGACACACAGCACTTTACTATTGTTGTGGGCGAGGCAGCAGGGTCTCTATACAGGAGACGACTGCCTGACCTTTTGTAAATGTTTTAGTGGTAGGAGAAATCGGAACACCAATAGGAAACCCTCATAGACACAGGGAGAATGTTCAAACTCCACACAGAACAGCCCTGTCTAGAGGTGGAATTGACCTCAGAAACTTCTTGGGCCGCTGCGCCGCATATAAGACCAAGGCTGATTTTTTGCTAAGAATATTGAAGCCTTTGTTGGATGGTATTTCTATTCTATCATTGAAAAATTATATCTATTGTATCAAAGTGGAGAACACATGACAAGCTGGACTGCCAATGATCCGTGCGTCACTGATGAATGAGTAATCTGCTGCTACAGTGTTTCTCTCACTCTGACTGCACTTGAAATTAAAGACAGAATGTGTGGACTTCATTCTCTCCCCGACATTCATGTAATATTAGTGGCATTAGGAGCTTGTATTCTCAGACTGATCTAACGTGTTTTTGAGCACTTTTCTGTTTGTTTGCTAGTGGATATTGGCATACTACAAAACAAAAAACAACCATATAGAGAGCGCACTCATTCATAGAACTATATGTTAATCTCTCATTTTAGCCAAACCAAAACTAAGTTATTTTTTATTGTAATATGATATCAAGTATTTATTGCTTTGGTTCCAGACCTGTTCTTTGCAAACATATTTTAATAATTTACTATGCAGTGATATTTATAGTATGTAGCAAAGTATACATTAACTCGTTATTGATACTATTCGATGCGTCGGTAAGGGTTGTCAAAATAAACATTGGTGGTTGTAAAAAGCACATTTCTAAGACACACACTGTGAGCTTCTTTCTTCTCGTGGGTCTGCGGAAGTCATAAGAAACCTGTCGCCTGCAGTAACTGTGGTATTTATCCAAAGCTGACCATTGGACGAGTGCCTGTTTTCTCACACAGAGGGGGGTGTGTCTGTCCCTGTCAGCTCCTCACACTCGTGGTCCAGTCACTACACAGTCTTTAGATCCACTCCAGGATCCTTTTACAGTGCATTTTGAGCTCTCCATTCTCCCCTCCCCTGTCCTGTGGATACTTTGGCAGCTGTATGGTAATTGGTTTTAATCCGGGGCATTCAAACAGGTGGCTACAGCAGCAGGCGCATTGCTGTGTTGGAATTAGGTGCAACAATGCCTCTGCAAAAGGCTGGATATTGAGTGGTTTTGGCGTTTGTGGATAGTTCACCCGGCTTGGAAATGTGGCTGGAACGGACCAAGCGTTTGAAAATGAAGATCTTTTGCCACTGCGATCACTCTTTGGTGGGTTAATACGCCTCTAATATGCAGTTAATTAGGGAGAAATGCCTCTTCCGTTTGATATGGTGTGGTAGGAAGTTGTAGTGGTGAAATTATTATGATGTTCTATGTCTGTCTTATGTGTTTTCTTAATGTAGCAGTCTGTGAGTTCAAGACAAATTTCCTCCGGGGCATAATAAATTAATCTTGAATCTTGAATGTAGTTTTCTGTGTATAGTGGACTCTAAAGGATCAGACGTAGTAGGATGTATTAGTTTGTGCCACAGGGTAAAAATAATACTGAAATAAGTTATCTACACATTTCTTGGGGGAGATAATGTATTCAATTACATTTATTTTTGTAAGATAAGATAAGTCCTTTATTGATCTCACACAGGAGAAATGTACATGTTACATTTGGCATGGATAGAATCACTCAGATTAATGTAAAAAGACAAAAGTGTGTAAACATGTTAGAGGCAAAAAATATAGCCTGTTCAGGATATATTATGTACAATAAAAAAGTGCATGGCCCTAAATCACAACAGTTATCTCGGAGGACTTAACAAAATTGTTGAATTTGCCAACACATATCAGAGAATCAAACAGTTCGATACAAAAATGCAATGATTAAAAGCCATTGGTCCATAAGGGGCAGATGGCCAATGTTTAAAAATGTTAAATGTATTAATTGGTATTACAGGAGTATGTACTCAAACTTTTCCACTATTTCTGCAGCTACTGTTAACTTTCCATTAGATCACATTGTTACTGGAATTTTCACAATCAAACTGGTAAGAAAAGAGTAAATTCTCAAGGACAACGTATTGTATTTTAATTACACTTTCAACACAAAATCTCAGTTGTTTTCTCTGGAGTCTATTGATAGATCGAGACCAATGTAACTAATGTTTCTGACAATGCACTGACTTCATTCACTAATGTAAACTTAATCAGGTCAGGTAAAACATAAATCAAATCAAAAGCAGGTTGGGATGAGGTCTTTTGCTGTTTTCATGTGATTCCAAAACTCAATTTGATCTAACTTAATTTTCTGTTCCCACTGAAATATTAAGTTATGCACAGAAACTCATGCAGTAGATCTCGGGATGAGCCCAGAGCTGCTGTCCATGTGCACACGCATGTTCTGTGTTAAGTAAGTCATATGTGCAACTGTCACGAAGAGCTGCCAGACCCAATTCTACACATTTATGTAATAATGTGCGTCATTATCGAGTCATGCAGCAATTCACAAAAATAACTTAGAAATGGGAAAATTATAATACTTCTTGATATTGTGTTGATTTGAGCAGTTGTGGATTGTAGTTCAACAGCTATAAGGAAGTCTTTATTGGTGTCACATCAGGATAACGTTGCAAAGTACATAGTAGCCAGAACTATATTGCTTTAATTATTTGTTTATTTCCACAATGTGGGACGAATAAAGGATGATAATCTTTCAAGTTATAAGTTTCATTTATAAAATACATAACGATCAGAATGAGTTTGTTGTGATGCTCAATTAATAACAGAGAGCTTGTGTCAAGCTTAAAGTTTTAGTAAAATAGAAAACACAAATCTCTAATGTTGAAAGTATATTAGACAATGATATAGCATAAGCTTCAATACCATATTGCTGAAAAGACCCAAAAAATAACATTTATTCTTTTCACTTATAAATATGTTTCCTCAGTGTGACGAGGCTTGCCTTTCCACTAGCCTGATGTATAGTTGTCCTTGCTTCCATTGGGCTTTGATCTTCTAAAGCAGTGTCTCCCAAAGTGGGGTCCGCGGCCCCCTGGTGGGCCGCGAGGGTACTGCAGGGGGGCCGCGGGAGGTCATAAAAAAAAAAAAAATAATAATGTAATTATGTTAAATTTATAATGTTTTGTTTGTAACATTAAAATATTTGTGTTCATTATTTGACTTTAATAATCCACTGTAATCATTTTTGTATTACAATGTTTGTAGCAGAGGCTATTTCCCCAAAATAAAATAACCAGAAGAGCCTATTCTTAATGTTGTCTTCTTGGTTATTATTTTGGGGGGCCACGCAGACCCGTCAGATTTTTAAGGGGGCCTCGGTGTTACTGAGTTTGGGAATGGCTGTTCTAAAGTATAGACTCACAACTTATTTACATAATTAGACGGTTACCTCAATATAATTTTTTCAGAATGATGATGTAAAAGAGATAAAAAGTGGAACCATAAAACTTGAGAGATTGAGAACAGAAAGAAATAAGATCAAAATATGTTGTAGTAGTGTCCTGTATATGTTTCTAGATTATTTAAAATGATGGGAATTCAGGATACTGGGTTTTTCAGTAGATTTTGACTTTTTTTAATTATTTTTTTGATAAGCCTTGGTTGGATTGTGTTTCTGACACATTTCTGCTGACACATTTCAAGGAATATCATTTTTGCCTGCAGCACGTCATCGTCTCTTGTACTACTCAGAAGTGAAAATAATAATAAGATTCGTTTTAATCCCAGTCAAAAACACTGAACTTGTCCCAGAGCAGACTGTAACATACATCAAACATAGAGCCTGAAACACGTGACACTTCCACTTGGCCGAACAGTTCATTTGATTTGATGCTATGTGCTCTGGGTGCAATGCATTAGTTTTATGGGACCAACGTGGAAGCAGCAGCAGCAGCAGAAACAGCAGCAGAAGCAGCAGAAGCAGCAGCAGCAGCATGGGGAGCCTTTATAGAAAATGTATTGGATTTTCTGGACTTTCATAACTGAGCTTGTGTTCACATTTTGTTCTATAGGATTTTTCATATGACGACTCAAAGGTGGAGTTTAACGTGGACGCGCCGAATGGAGTGGTGATGGAGGGATATCTGTTTAAAAGAGCCAGCAACGCATTCAAAACATGGAACAGGTTTGTGGCTGGATCATTTATAAATATATTGACCAGAGAAAGTCTTTAGGAGTAGTGCTTCTTGTCTTATGCCCTGTCTGTGATGGAGAACAAACTGGTGAAATCTAAATATAAAATGGTGTTAAAAAATGATTCCGCTACGATGTCCAAAGTAATAAAAAAGGAAATCATTCCAAATTGTTCAGATAAATCTATTTTATCTTATCTTGTAAAAAAAAGTGTTGAAGAGCGTTTTAGACGTTTACTTGAAATATGCCTGTTTATAAATGTACATTTGAATTTTTACCGTTTTTTTTCTCTACTGTATGTCAAAAGGGCAAGTGCTGCGACTTATAAGACAAAAGTGTAAAGCTAGTACTGCTTAATATACATTTGACAAGTGCGGCTTAGCTTTGGCAATAATCACCATGATGCATCAGACTGTTTGACAGTTTGTCTATGTTTTCTGTATCAGTCCCTTCTCAAATAACCTACATACATATTTTTCATTCACAAAACTCATCCACATGTTATCTCAAACTTCATTCACAAAACAAGTGGGGAGCGAGCAGTAAAATCCTATATAATCCCACAGCTTATGTTTATAATATTACATTTGAAGAGAACAAAAGTTATACATTTCTAGTGTGAAAATGGAATGCAGGCTTAAGCACATATGAAAGCTGCGAGTCTCCCCTAAAAAAACAAACACATGTTAAATGCTGTGTTCTTCCTTTTTCCGGATCATGGGAGCTCAAACAAATGCACCTGCTGTGTTCACTCCACTGCCCTCAGCTCTGTCCAGAAGTTTATCCATCTCAATGATATTTTATTAATGCTCCATCTCTGTCCTTTCAGGCGCTGGTTTTCCATTCAGAACAGTCAGCTGGTCTATCAGAAGAAGCTCAAGGCAAGTGTGCACCTGCAAATCTCTGACATGCTCTTTTTCCCGGAGGTGGAGTGGTTTTAAAAAGGTTAAGTGCAGAGGAATACCTGCAGACCTGTGAGAGAAGAGATGCATGGGTTATTTTAGGTCATGTCACCAGGGAAATGTACTAAAGACAGCTTGTTTGGGAGGTTTTGTTACTATTGGCAACCCTGACAACATGTATGATGTTCAGGGGAGATCTGTGTTTTGAGACTTTGTAAATATTTATTGGATTACATTGTGGTCACATTGAACACATGGCTTGAGGGTACCTAACTCTGGCTTCTTAAAACATTCAAACCATAACAAATGAATCTATGTTCTAGAAGTCATTGCTCTCAAAACAGTTGTAATTGTAAAACCTCAGCTCTCTCTACAAAGCTTCAATTGTGGAAAGGATAAAGATATAGATAGCAAGTTATGGTTGGATTTGTTCACAAGTTTTTGCTTTCACATGTTCTGTTGGAACAATCACTATTAATTATTTTCGGAAGATGAAAAGTGAGGTACCCCAGCTTTAATTTCCAAAGCTGACCATCAAGATCATTCTGAAGCCTAAACACGTGTGTTTAATATAATAATGCCAAGCTGACCAAGGTCCAACCTTTATACATGTATAATAATGAGGTGGTGCAGGGTCACAGCTGCTGCTGAAGGTGTGTTTAACAGAGTGATTGTGACGTTAGGACTCTCTGACGGTGGTGGTGGAGGATCTGCGTCTCTGCTCCGTCAAACCGTATGAAGACATCGAGAGGAGGTTCTGCTTTGAGGTCGTCTCTCCCTTCAAGTATGTTTCCCGTTTTAAATACTTTTCAGATTCTCTGGTTGCATTTCTGTGTCGTCCCTCAGTCATGTAGGCAGATGTTAGAATTCTAGATATTTCGTCTGAATATGTTTTATCCCTCATCCATGTTTCATCATCAGTTCTATCGCAGCTGGTCGCAGACTGTAAACATACATGTCTCTGTTAATTGTCTGTGTTATCCCACAGGAGCTGCATGCTTCAGGCTGAATCAGAGAAGCACAGACAGGCCTGGATTCAGGCCGTCCAGGCCAGTATCGCCTCAGCCTACAGAGAGAGTCCAGACACATATTATATTGAGGTAAGAAAGGTCAAGCTGAGAATACTTTAATAGAAAATGCAGGTATTTTACCCACATGGCAAAGTAGGAGTCTGTTGTATGGGGGAATGTGTTAGTAGGGCCAATGGTGCAGATTGACACAACATTCTGAGATGTGACTGTAAACGCCATCACATGTATACTGTTCTGAAGGCCTGAAAACACATGATTTCTTAAGTATCGTGTCTGTATTGAACAAAGAAGTCACATCACTAATAGTTATGTCTTTGTTCCTCAGCATTTGGACAGAACGGCCTCCCCGTCCACCAGCAGTATCGACTCTGCCTCTGAGCCACGTGAGCGCAGTGTGCGAGGTGAGTCCATCCTGCAGAGGATCCTGGGACTTCAGGGCAACGAGCTGTGCTGTGACTGTGGACAGACGGAGCCGCGCTGGGCCTCCATCAACCTGGGCATCCTGCTGTGCATCGAGTGCTCCGGCATCCACAGGTCTGTTTCCCACTGCAGAGGGTGTGGAGTCATTTCACATGTCAGGAAAGTAAACAGTTCTTTTGGGCGCATTTTACATGTTTTGACAAAAAAAACGTTACAAACTGAGATATTGCTTGGTTGGTATTCAAACCACTGGCTCGTGGCGGGTGGTTCCAATTGCCGCTTCTTATCAAATTTATGTATTTTACTCCCCCAAAATCTCAATTCAAAGATTCAAAAGCATTTCTACACAATGCCTTTAAATTCTTATGTCCTTGTCCCTCATAATAATAATAGTCTAATAATAATGATAACAATCAGCCATAGGTGAAACAAAAAGACAAACCCACATAAACATCTATATAAATGAAAATACCATCTACTGTATCTACTTCTACCCAATGCCCTCAAAGTCATCAGTGACATATGTGGAGCGCTCACAGGAAACACTGAGCAGCTGTTGATTCTTGGCTTGAACGCGCTGCACACGTTTAGCCACCAGCCACGATAAAGGATTAAAGTGGAGGAGCTGCTCCGTGCATCCGACTTCTTTAATTGAATTACTTTGAAGAGAAGAGGAGAATTAGGCCACAAAATACTGGGGCGGTCATTGCAGAATACTAATGACAAGTAGAGTCATGGAGCTTTTATTGAATTATCCAGTAAGAAACAGATATATTCTTCTTCCTTTTGTGGGAATTCTCAGCTTTTTGTGACGAGAGTGTGATCGATGTTCGAGAGAAGCACTGTTTGGGCTCCATATGATGGCATCTTGCTTAATGCAGTCAAAAAATCTATAATAGCAGGAAAAAGAAGGCCATTTCACTGTAATGACTTAAGTGATATGTCTGAAAGCTTGAATAAGACAAAATCTGATCAAAATGAATAAATAATCACGATTATGGATTAACCTAATAATATTTACATCGCTACTCTATAGAAGGGCGTGAATGCAAATGAGTTGTCTTGGTTCTTCTGGTTACATCATCTGTCTCGCTGTGGGAAAGTTGCTCTTGTTTGGTACATTGTTTTTGTGTGTTTTTTCTGCTTGTGTAATACCAAAGAGTTGAGGTTCTGATTATTCATGCGTTGAATTAAAGGACAGAGGAGGCGAGATCAGGTTGAGGCTAATGAGACGCGGTTGCCGTGGGTTACAGAATACTCCAAACATGGAATGTGGGGATTTGCATGAGTTTGGCCGCAGCATCTCGCCTTATTTTGACTCTTTTTTATAATGTATTTTTGGTACAATAGTCGTCTGAGTTTTCTTTCACACCAATTTAGGTTTTTGTTCAATGTTTTTGTCCCTAAATTTGAAGTGCTTGAAGCAAAAACTATTGTACCTGAGAATGTATATTATTACACACAGTTGGCCTGGTGAAATGTATGTATGTATTTTACATGTTGTGTCATAAAATTAAAGAAACAAACTGGACTTTTTTTTTTTAACACTTTTTTCAATATTGACTTAATTTTTTTAATTGTATTTATAAAGGTTCTCTTCTCTTATCTCATCTTATTTATTTTCTCATTAGTCAACATGACAATCAAGAAAAGAAAGAAAAAAAGTGTATCCAAAAGAAAATATGACTTTTTCACGAGCAAAAAGGGTTAGGCTGAAAGCTGAATTCCCAAACTTCCAAACCACAAAAAATAAAATACTGTTATATAATCAATCGACTTGTCCCTCTCTCTCAAAACAGTTGGTTCTATCTTTAGTTTTCACATACATGTATATTTACCCCTAACACCTCTTTAGATCAGTTTTTTTCCGACAGAAAAGTGAAAAAGCCTCAGTCTGTCATCTCTCAGCCCATAGCGTTAAATAGTGACTCACAGGACTCTTTCTTACAAGTATTCAAAATATAAAAATGCTTTCCTAAAAGACAAAAACAACATGTCGTGGTCTGATTTGTTCACAACATTGACATTTACTGTTGGGACAATTGTTTCTGGAAAGACAAAATTCTTGTACCCCAGATTTAACTGTTTTATGTCTGACTTGCAGGAGTTTAGGGGTCCACTGTTCGAAGGTGCGCTCGCTCACGCTAGACTCCTGGGAACCAGAATTATTAAAGGTATACTCCTGTCGCTGCTTTACCTTTATTTTACATACATTATCTATGAGCCATGTGTGTGTAAGAGCATTAATAACATGTTTCTGCAGCTCATGTGTGAACTCGGGAACAGCGTCATCAACCACATTTATGAAGGATCGTACCAAGAGAAGGGGCTGAAGAAACCAACGCCCACCAGCTCCAGGTACAAATCATCATAGAATTAGAACTGTGCGTTTACAATATGGCTGTAATATATCATATGATTTTTTTTTTATCAGTTGTTATCGGTGTATGACGTGTTCAGCTTGATTCTATAATTTTATTTACTATTCTTCATCTTCCCAGCTAATATATGTCTGTCCTCTAAAAGCAGAGTAAAGCAAAATTAAAAATTGTCTAACGTGACAGGCCACACACAGGTCTGTTTATCAGACATGTTTTTGTCCTCTGCTACAATTACAATTGTGTATTGTTTGCTATTGTCAAAAAGTGGCTGTAATTATGCTGGTTCTTTAAATCTTTTTCTTTTTTTTCTCCATCTCTAGAGTTCTAATTTTATGTCACCTTCAGTCAAGTGATATTGTGTGAATTTATCGCTTTAACTTTAAAACCCCAAAAAATAGCTAACATCCATACAGTCCAAACTAGTTCAAATTTTCAGTCAAAATCAAGAGTCACTAAGCAAATCAGCTCTCAGTACTGTATGTAAAAAATAACATTTTCCAAAGATAAAATGAAGATAGCATGAGCATGGGGTCTGATTTGTTCACAAAATGTTACTTAAGCCAGACTCAAGAACCAAAAAATAAGTAATACTCAGATGACATTTATCTCTTGGTGTTTCCTGTGTAAAGTAGAGTTGTGTGCTCATGCAGGCAGGAGAAGGAGGCCTGGATCAGAGCCAAGTACGTGGAGAAGCGTTTCCTGAAGCGTATGGGTTCTCCAGATCTGGTCCTGAACGGAGAGAGGAGACCAGAGCGACGCTGGAGCGTGAAGAAGTGCAGACGGCACCACAGCGCCACCACTGCCCCTAAAGGCCGCAGGAGGTATCTGCAGGAGCCCGGGAGCACGTCCCCCTCCACACTGTCCGCAGGTGAGAGGGAAGAGGAGCATGTTTAGGCTGATGTAATAATATCTTATATCGATCAAGTGACGTTTGTACTGCCCCCCACATGTAGAGCAGTGTGAGATGTCAGTGAGGAATTGATAATAATAATGATGATGATGATGATGATGATTTTGATGATGATGATGATGATGATGATGATGATAACATTATTATTACTCTTTTGGCACAAACAACATTCATAATTCAGCTTTAACGATAACTAAATGTCCACATGTCTCAGATCTGCTCACTTCAGTTCACATCTTAGATTTCAAGATGACACAAACATTGAAAACACGTTCATACACTGTAAAAAATACAACTCAAAATTGTTCACCTTACTAAGATTTTTGCATTCACTGACAATAAAATTGCCAGTTGGAACTGCAACTGTCTGTTGTGAGCCTCTTGAACTCACTTTCAGAAGTTTCTGATGAAAAGTTCATCTTATTTAATATATTAAGTTGATTTTATTTTGAAGTTGTAGTGAACTTCTGAAAGTGAGTTCAAGAGGCTCACAACAGACAGTTCCAGTTCCAACTGGAAATTTTATTGTCAGTGAATGCAAAAATCTGAGTAAGGTGAACTATTTTGAGTTGTCGTTTTTACAGTTCACCGAGCTAGAGTGAGGTCAACTTGTCTGCGTTTGCTCATTTAAATATTTGTCATGGCAACCAGCTGCATTCAACATTTTGAAAAAACTAATTTGACCAAAAATTGTATTTATTTTTACCAACTGTAATTGACAGGGCCAAGCCAAAGTAGCCCTGTATATTCTCTGGGTCAGTCTTAGAAACATTAGTTTTCCCCATTAATCGGGTTCACAGTGTGTGCGGCACGGTGGCTGAGTGGATAGCACTCTCAGCATTCTGAGTGGAATTTGCATGTTCTCTGTGTCTGCATAAGTTTCCTCTGGGTGCTCCGGTTTCCCCTGCCCAAGTGACCTTGGTCTGTAAAATGCACTATATAAATAAACATCATGATGGTTTAATGTGGGGGCTAATTTAAACTCAAAATAGTAAGTTATTGTAGGGGACAGTAATCTGAACTTAAAAAAGTAAGTTTTTACAGACTTGAGATTTCCAGTAACTTGAATTTAAAAAACTTAGCTGACACAACTCAATAAGTGTAGTTCTTCAAAACGTGAAGAATACAGTTAATGCCTTCAACTCAAAAATCCTTCGCAGCTGGTTGCTTTGAAATTTTGAGTTGAACTAACTTTTTTACAGTGTACATGTCTTTTCAAATGAAATTTCAGTTTTTAATGGTTTGTGTACTTTGTGTTTACAGCTGCAGCAAAGTTCAGAAGAGAATCGCTGTTTTGTCCTGATGAGCTGGACTCACTGTTCTCCTACTTCGACACAGGATCAGGGCCTCGAAGTATGTACAGTAACATCTGATTTTAATACACATAAAAAAATCAGTCACACTCGATTGACTTTAATACAAGTCATAAAGAACTTTAGCATTAATTCAAAACAGTCCTAACTCATCAACCAACGACCTTCTGTCCCACCACAAATCACGTCGTGTGTATGATAAAAGTGTGTGTACTTTAGTCGTGAAGTGCGGTGTTATGTGACGTGTCCCTGTGGCCCTCTCTGGTCCCGCAGGCCTCAGCAGTGACAGTGGACTCGGAGGCAGCACAGATGGAAGCTCAGACGTCCTAGTGTTTGGATCAGTGGTCGACAGTGTCACCGAGGAAGGTATTTACTGCAGACAGGACATGTACATGAGATACAAATACATTACAAATCTCTGGTTCTATCACTAGTTTTCATATGCATGCATTTTATGTTCTCTGTCACATTTTTGATTCAGCTTTTGCAGACAAACAAGTGAGAAAGAGAGGACCACTCTCACTCAGCCAATCAGTTCTCAGTCCACAGCAACAGACTCACAAGTCTCTTTTTAGTCAAATACAAGTTTAGACAATACAAGATAGTGACAACATGTTGTGGTCTGATTTGTTGCCAAAATGCCAAAAATGTTTTTATTTTACCCTAGATTTAATTAACTTTAAATTGATATTTTGATCCGCTGTCTGTTTGTTTGTTAAAGTCCCAGAGTCAACATCTTGACCATAAATAGTTTAGTTACACGTGTTCATGTGTGTGTGTCCAGAGTGTGAGGTGTCTGAAGACTCCAGCGTGGAGGCCGAGAGCTCCGACACAGAGGAGCTGACATCTCTGCACCCTGGGGCCCTGCTCTTCAAAGCCTCCAGGGCCAGGAACCTCCCGGTGATGGCCGAAGCACTGGCCCACGGAGCGGACGTCAACCTGTCCAGTGAGGAGGAGGAAGGGAAGACGCCGCTCATACAATCTGTGATCGGGGTGAGGGACACTGAGCACACACTTACATTTACAGTTACTGCGTTTTTATGTTTATTCCAGTAGGATTTGTTCCATAGGATTCATGTCCGGATGAATTTGTTGTTCACTCAAGCTCTTTTTAAGGACACATAATGTAGAAAATTGAGATCACTGTACAATGTTGTGATTCATTTATGAATTTGTGAATTTTTCCACTTTAAAAGAGCCATCTCTCCAATAATCCTTATTTTCATATATCCCATTGATTTTAGTCCACTGCTATGAACTTATTTTAGTCATACTGTTATTCAAATGATTTTCGAAATGTTCTTAGTGATAGACATAGAATTAGGTTGCTACTTTGGACAAGAGAGAGTCCTGTTCAAGTTAAAATGTCCAAAATACCTGAAAAAAATGCTTCAAGCAAAAACAAATGGTAACACTTCAGATTATCCCTGGAGGCCATGTAGAATAAGGACTAATAGTGCTTAATAAATACCAATTAAGACCTAATTAACCACACATTATACACTAACTAGCACTTAATTAACTGTTAATTAGTGAGGGCTAAACTAAAGTGTGACCAAACCAAACAAAAATGCATAATAATTTTGATCCACTAATAACTCTGCTTGTAAACATTTACATTAATAGTTGCTTTGTTCCAGGGTTCGTTGGTCGCCTGTGAATTCTTGTTACAAAACGCAGCCGACGTGAATCAAAAAGACTCGCGGGGGAGAGGCCCGCTGCATCACGCCACTTACATGGGTCACACGGGGTGAGCCTACGACATCACACTAAATAGACTAGATTTTCATTTTTTCTCCCATTATGATCCAGAAGTGCCCTCTTAACTTCATGGATTGATGGCTTCCTGTAGCGGTGACGTTAACAGCATTTCTCACTTATGTTTTTAGGCAGGTGTGTTTGTTCCTGAAAAGAGGAGCGACTCAGAACAATGAAGACGATGATGGACTGGATCCTCTGAGCATCGCGGTGCAGCAGGCCAACGCCGATATAGTCACACTGTACGAACCAAATGAGGATCACTATTATTGCCACCACTCACTACGACATAGTTGTAATTAGGGCTGCACGATTTTGGATACATTTTAAAATATTCATAAATCTATTTTCTTTTTCCAATTTACGTTTTCTTTACTGACCAGTATGTAATATTAGTAAGATTAAATCACACCATTTACCCAATAATGTGGATTGGGTAATAGGTGTGTATAATTTTTTTATTTTATTCATTTATTCAAAAAAAGGTCTATAGAAGATTTTATTGTTATTTAATCCAGATAAATTCTTCCTAATTTGAGTCGTTTTTATCTTATTTTTTGTCTTTTTTGCTTGCATGGGACTTCAAAATAATTGCCGTCTTTCAATTTGCTAATTACGACCACTAAAACCGCAATTTCAACAGTGAATAATCGTGCGATCCTATTTCTTATCAACACTGGACTCTTTTCTATTTGTCTCTGATGTAATTCCACTGTTGTCCTCTAGGCTTCGTCTGTCGCGGATGAACGACGAGATGCGGGAGGCAGAGGGTCCGCTCGGGCAGCCAGGTCAATACCCCGTCACCAGCCCCACAGAGCAGCAGTACAGGAAGTGCATTCAGGAGTTCATCTGCATCCACATACAAGAGTGCTAGGCCACACGCACACTCCAGGGGGCGCCACTGTACATACTACTGCCTCATACACTGTGTTTAGCTCACCTCAGGACAAAACTGATGATGTCACACAAACCATTTTCTCTGGATGCAGATGTCGAAGCAGCTACGTGACTCAAAAATCACTGCCAAGATATGTATTTTAGAATTGTAGATTTTTGTATTGAATCCGCATGATTCAGTTTTCCGGTCCAGAGAGATCCTTGCGGGTTTCGAAAAGAGGTCTTGGCACACAGACAGAGCTGATCCATGATTGCGTTCAACAGTGGGTGGCTACGCATTCCCATGATTGTTTCCTCAATAAGTTCAATAGTTCAAAAGTTTGACAGCGGCAACAAGTATTTTTGATTAATATATATAGGAGGGGGGAGGGGGTAATTATAAGCGATTTGACCTGAGTTTTATATTATATCTATACATCACAAAAAAGTACAATAAGTGTTAATTCATATGTAAAAAGGGGAGGCAAATTTATTGTACACAAACTACTAATTGATTTTTGAGCTAGGAGTTGGGAGTCACTCATTACAGACTGAGCTACTTCTTGAGCTAGGTCAGTAATACATAACGCATTACAGAAATGTGTCATAGACTAAGAGTAAAAACAAAATATTAAAACCAGTAAAATTGTAAAACCAACATATTCAGCTCAGTAACTAATAACCAACACTAATAACTAAATGTTTATTTGAGCAATAAACAAAACAAAAAATAATACAGATATTATTAATAAAGAACTACAGCTGAGCACAAACAAGACACATTTGGACTATTTTTGAAAAAGGTCAAAGGGGAAATAAAGGTAAACCTTTCCTTTTTGAACCGCCCACTGTTGAACTGGACTCTTGTGAAACGTTTGAAGGATCGTGGAGGACTTGAGGCCAACGAATGCACTTTTAATAGCAGTAGTTCAAACCTTATCTTATTGTACATATTCATTCTTAAACTCATTTTTCTCATTTTATTTATGAAGATACGCCAGGAGCAACAGTGCAATGATTATTGACATACAGAAAGATGATCTGTATTTTTTGTATTACGTTGGATGCAGATGGTATTTTTTTAAGGCTATTTTGTCAGGATTTATTTCACGGCCTCATTCAAACAGCATTGTTCTCAGTTTGGGAACAAACCACACTTTGTTTATAGAGAAAAGACAGAAGATGCAGGAAAGACGTTTTTGATAAATGCCACTATGTGATATGCACTACTGTATATACAGTATTTTATTGTACATGTTTGTTTGGTGTATTCAAAAGTATCTGGAGTATATTGTCATGTAAAGTGCATGGGTCTTTTGGTTATTTCTGATCCTCCATGTGAGTATTTGACTGTTAATGATGAACCATAATGTAAAGTCCATGTGACACTGTGCTGACCAGATCAACTCACTGCTAAAAATAAAATCTGTGCTGGTGAAATATCCTGAATTCAGAATAGTATCTTGAGTAGTTCTAGTTGCTACTAAGACTACTACTACTACTACTACTACTACTACTACTACTACTACTACTACTACTATTACTACTTTTACCGAAATATGAATACAACTACAGCTACTTACTGCTGTTACTACTAGTACGACTTCTGATGCTGCTACTACTACTACTACTTCTGCTGCTGTCACTAAAACTACTCCTAGTACTACTACTCCTACTTTCTTATCGGAAGTTGAAAAAATGATAGCACAACGATTGCTGTTGCTGCTGTAACCACTACTATTGCTATTGCTGCTTCTACTACTACTATTTATTTGATTTCTTATTGAAAGTTGAAAAAGACACTACTGCCGCTACTACTACCACTACTACTATTACTGCTGCTGCTGCTGCTACTAGAACCACCACTACTACTAGCACTACCGCTACTATTCTGAATCCATGTCACTCCCCTGTTAGCGCTGGCATATTTGCAGTGTAAAGTGGGTCGTCTATGGAATAAATCAGGAGATATGCGAGATGACAATGAAAACGGCAGCTTTTACTCTGCCGCCGAGAGAACTTCATGAATTATACATCCACTATAGGACGACATAAATAATAAGAGCTTTATGAGGGCTGAATATAACATGCAGACTTCAGCGTTCAGACCCCTACGAATAGTTATGAATGACTGTTTAAGATTATTATCAGTGTAGAATGTCTCACTGAATATATCACATTGAAAAAAGTATCTATATTTAAGTAATAGACACATAATTTCCAAAGAAGACCGAGACTGTTCGGATTAAGTCCAAGCCAAAGATCAAACGCAGATTAGATATACAGTTTAGACAGTATAAATGAGAAATATTATGTTAAGATTATTATGCAAGAAAACAATTACAAACAACCCATGATCCATTTTACATGACTATCCAACTACAAGAGAAGTTGTGGCTTTCTGTTTTGGATAGTTAAACTCTCTCCAGCCAAATTACTGTATTCTAAAATAATCTAAATGGGATTCTTTCTTATCAACGTTGTCTTTTTGCACTGCCATGTTCTGCTAGTGAAACAGTTATAATTGATTTTACTTGTTCAACTTGATCAGCCATACAAACTCTGAACAAGTCTGCTTTTGTCAACATTTTCATGAACTAAAATCTAAAGTAACTATTAAATACACACATTTTATTATTGTAAACAGACTAAAACTTTAGATTTTCTCGACAAAATGTGCACTGCTCTTTGTTTACTTGAAGTCTATGCATACATACTGGTACATGCATTTCAATGATACCAGGTTTGCACAGTTTATAATTATAACTAATCATCTGGGCGGGAAAAAATACACACAGTGATTCATTCAACATAGAATTCTAACATTTGAAATAGACATGTCGTTCTTTGTGGTGTTCTTATATTGTAATTGTCTGAATAAGCTTTATGAGAGATGTCATGGACCAAATGTGCAGGGAATAATAACATGGACTTGTACATAAAGAAGCTATTCAATATCTATTAATATCTGCTCGCTCCCAACATGCAATCTCCCATTTCCTCCTGTCTGACTGGTGACTTTCTGTAAAACTACTGTCTGTCTGTGCTAACTAACATTTACTATGCTTTGTTTCAATATCTTTCTGTGTCTTTCTCGAAATAAATTCAATGTCATTCTAAACTAACTTGGTCTATCTTTCTTTTTCCATCTTTCATACACAAGCTTTCTTCTTGCTTCCTGCATTAACTATAAACCTGAGACAGGATTTGCACAGTGGGCGATTATAAATTCATTGCAGGCACTATATAAATTATGAGTTTGAATATGCATGTGTTTTGGAGACGAATGAGGAGATATTTTTAGACTTGAAATGATCTGATATGATATGAGGCCGCCTACACAAATATAGGATTAGCATAATTTCAGATTAAGAATTTTATGGTTTTGAATTATGATTCCAGTGTCATTTACTCACTACACTGTCACTTATTGACAGTTATAAATACATATATACAGGTATACTGTAGGTCAGAACGTTTATGTCGTGAGGTGAAATTAAAGAAGGAGCAAAAAATGCAGGACTGAAAATAAAATGTAATTTGACAACCAAAACACATAAAAACAGAGGAACAGACGTGGGGAAAGACAATGGACGGCTATAATGAAATATAATACATAAAAATAAATATATAAAAGAAAAAACAATTATATTATACATCTGTGGGAAAAACACAGGGTATGAATACGGTCAGCACTAGATCATATACGGAAGCGGATGTAAATATAACCAACTACCTATTTATTCCTAAACTTAACCAGCCATTCCCATAAAATAACCCCAACCCACTTTTAACCCTAACCTTAACCATCTTACTTAGACACCTAAAACTTAACCAGTCACCACTTAAGGACTTATTAGTCTAAAACAGATTCGAAAGTAGGATTTTTACTTCCGCTTCTGTCCCGATTCTGTATGATCTAGTGCCGACTGTATGAATACACAGGGAGACATGACAACCACATTGGGACAGAACGGAGAACTCAAAATAAATCAAAGTTTATAAAAATATACTCAATTTTCTATTTATGCAGAAAAAAAAACAGATCAAACTAACGATTTACCTTCAATTATGTTCTTATTTTTTCATGTTTAAGTAAACAACAATTTTAAGTTAAACGTTGTGAACAAATCAGACCACAGCATGGATTGAATATTAGTTCTTCTGTAGTTATTAGCATTGCAATCTACATTAATAAATATAAAGTACACGTTTTAATCTATTAAATTAAAGTTTTTATATCAGATCCAATCCCTCATTAGATCGTTTTCATCATATTTTGGCAAAGAAAGTATGGTAACCAATCTTTTTTGTGACTTCAAACAAACAGAATAGTTTGTGTTCATCAGTTTCTTCTAAACTAATGGCAGTTTGGGCCACGATGCTGGAATGTCGGATCCCTTTTGTAATTAGCCTGATGCCGGACGCTCTCACGAAGCACAAAGAGCTCAAAGCTTTTGTAGTGCAACCAAACTCAGGCGTTACCATGGCGACACAAGTGGCTCCATTCATAAATCCAGACGCTTATTTGCACTCATATAAAAGCTGTTTTGACCGACTGATGTGGTCCTGATGGTATTGTGTGTGTTGACGTGCACAGAGAAGATCTGATCCTCAAACCAAACAGTTCATAGTTTAGTAACTGTTGCTTTTGAAAGGAAAAGTAGAAAACTATTCAATATTGAACATGTTTGTCTTGTAAATATTGTTTTTTTAGTTAGAAATCACATTCATTGCAGTTGTGCTCCAAAGTTTTCACACCCAGGCAGAAATGTTAATGTTTTGGTCATTTCTGAGATTATGAATAATAACACAAAAGTCTTTTCTCACTCATTGTTAGTGTTTGTGTGAAGCCATTTATTGCCTAATACATTTTCTATTATGAAATTATAATTATGACAGAAACTACTCTTCTGACCCTGAGCAGAAGTTTCCATTCCCCAGTTTTCATTATCTTTAACATCGCACAAGACTCCATCGAGCTTTGTTTTGGGGCTCCAAAGTTTGAGAACCTGTCATATATAGATCATAATGTTTAATCATTGCTATTACGAGCAAAATAACTCAGCAACCACACAATATGGATCTTGTATGAGACTTCTGGTGCAAGTATGCAGAAGTCAGTGATTTTTCAACTGATGTTTTGGTTATTTGAAGGTGGCTGGTATCTGGTATAAAATCATGTGCACGCAGCAAAACTCAGGTCATGTCATCTACCAACAATAAAATACGTCTTTCATGAACTGTTTATATGACATTCCAAAAGTGTGATAAGTTTATGGTCTATTTGTGCGTACTTGAAAACATGTGATCTGTGACCTTATATTGTCTGTTTTTGCTTTGACCGCAGGAGATGCTACGTACGTTGACATCTTCCGAGAATTCTCCCACATGGCGTCACACAACCCAGAGAAGCTGAAGCGGAGGAGTGTGCACTTTCGACACTCCTTCAGGTAGTGCAACAATAACAACAGGAAATGCAGGAGGAGAGCTGGTTTTAACGGAGGAGACCAATATGTTTTGCACTTGCAGTTCAGTTTTTACAGGCTAATGTGAGAAACTATACGTACGCACACACACACACACACACACACACAAAGCTGTTGGCCTGTCATGATGATGCTGGGCCTACTCCACTGCAGCCAAACATTCCAATAAAATGACAAATAAGCAGGAACATTTTTAATGTGAAAGCTTTTTAAAATTATTTTAACATGAATCTTTCCAAGGCCTAAAACAGTGTTGCTTCTTTGGGCAATGCAGATTTTCCGTCAACTTATCGTTCTATTTACAAAGATTTGAATAAGTTGCTCCAACTCACATTTAAATAACAGTAGCATGGGTTTGTATTGGCGTCAAGTAGTGTCAGAACTACCATTTATCAGAATATTTCTATCTATCAATATATTGTCCATCAAAATGTTTCATCATGACAGGGCGAGAGAAGCGTCGTCTTAAGAACCTATAGATCAGAGTTTGGGGAAAAAAGGAGCAATGTTTTAAAGTGTATGGGCCTTTTATCCATCCATTTTCATTTCATTTTCTGGGTCGGGGGGGTGGCAGTCAGAGCTGCACCCATTACACAGAGCACCAGCCCCTCACTGATCCTCCTGCAGGTGGTTAGTCTACAGGATCCTTGTTTCAGCGGGGGCTTCAGGCAAAGTGGGGTTAAGTGTCTTGCCCAAGGACACAATGACAGCAGACCTTGTTGGGAGTTGATGGAGAAGGTCTCGTTGTGGGCTTGAACCCTCGACCTTCAGGCTCAAAGGCCAATGCTCTACCAACCGAGCCACTGGTGGGCCTTTTATGCACATTTTATTTTTAAATGAGACAGTTTCAGTTTTCTCTTGTTTAAAATCATACTTCCTGCCTTTGAAAAAACTTGAGTGTGACAGAGATATTATAGAGAGGGAAAGGAAAAAGACAAAAATAATTTCAAAAACATATTTATTTGATTACATTTGTGTATAAAATGTCAGAAAAAAGTGTATGTGCCTAACTTGTTCAAACTTGTTTTTTCTTTCTATAATTTTCAACACATTTTTCAACTTTTCCTCACAAACTGCCTCTTGGTTGGTGTAAAGATATACTAAATATTTACACCAGGTATTTTTACACTGCCAGAGTAAAAAAGTAGAAAATCGGCCAAACCTGTCATGCACACGATAAGACTGTTGTTTTGCCAGATCCATGTTTGGGATGAAAAGGCCACAGTGATGCAGTAATAGACTTGGAACAGTACACACACATATTTTTCAACTTAAACGCTATTGATAAAAACAGACATTTAAACCGTTATTGCTGTCTTTTCATCACATTTCACTGATTGTGGAGAACGCTGGTCTATTCTCCTACGTCAGCTTCAGTCAAACCTTGTATTTTTCTTGTAGGATCTCTAAAGCACTTGAATTTATCTTGTTTTTTGACTCCTCTGTGGAATGAATATCTGTTACATTGAAGCTAGAATGCATGTCACGTTTTCAACATAAGGCAAACAAAAACAGTGTTATCTTTGTGTATTGTGTGTGACTTTGCTGGCATGGTCTTTTATTGTATTTTATTGTCGTTGGCTGTACCACTATGTAAGGTTGTGCTTCCTGTTTACATGCTGTAGAAGCACAATCGTGTAATATATCTCAGTGAAGAGACGCAGTAAAAGATTTGATTAAATAACAGTTTGTCTGGTTTTTCTCATTGAGTTTTGTGATACATCAGCGCCACCCTGTGTTCAGAAGAGGAACTGTGGCTGTTTTATTGCTGGACTTTGCCATTGAAATATCTGGAAACTTCTATGTTCTATGTCATGTTTATTTTAAGCCTTATAAAGAAGTAAGTTTTAACGCTATTGAAAACAAAAAAGAATATAGTTTTTTTTTTTGCCTATATCCTAAAGTCGGTTATCACAGGTTATCACAATATTATCGATGCACCTACAGCAGATTGGAAAAAACACCTACGAGCCATTTCTTCACAAATTCCCATACATTTCCCCGATCCTGAGAACACAAAGCACAACTGGCAACTTTCTACATTCACATTTTTGTTTTGAATGAAGGACTTCTGGTCACTCAAAGATGCTCCACAAAATTATTCATTAATGTGAATTGTTGATCACCAGGTTTAAATGTCACAGGTAAATGGGTGAGAAAGCCTAAATTGTACATGGACCAAATACTTTTACTGTTCCACTTATAAATAGATTTAAAAAACTGAAAAATAAAATAATCAACATCTTTGAAGCATTTATGGACATGCCCCCTATGGACTAATGTCTGCTGTGTGTGTTTGCTATTACTGCATTTCCTGTGTTTAAGCGGTTTGATTCTCTGATCTATTGTCGGAAAATCACCAATTAAAGATATAGATTTTATACTTGCCTCTTTATTAGTAAGTAATTTGGTAGGTATGTTATGTTTCTTTATATAGAGCAATTTACATACCTGCTCCGGTTTCCTCTTCAACTAACAACAATAGTTCAGAGTGAATGAGTGTGTGTTTGTGTTTGTGAGTGCGAACGTGTAGAAGTGTGTTCATTACATGCCCCAACCAAATAAACAGCATGTGTCTGGACATGTCTGCTCAAAGCTTTTAATGTCAACAACAAAGTTGTTTCAAAGAAATAAACGGGTTGATTAGAAATGATCTACTTCTGCTATTCATTCAAGTTCACTTTATAATTCCAATGTATGAATTTGGCATCGGTGCTAAAATTATAATTGTGCTATTGATGATGTAACTTACATGTAATATAACTTTGATTAAATGACAAGGCTATTGCAGTGCAATGCTGAACAAACAAGGTAATTAAATGAACAAAAGCTCTATGAGCTAAAACTGGTGAACTGCAACACAGCAAAAACTGTTAGGATAACACATGCTAACTGCTGCTATGGTAACCAGCACGGGCTCCAAGCTGACACAGGCCCAGTCCAGGCCCAGTCCTGGACCGGTCTAGTTGGTGCGGAATCACACTCTGGGAGTGTTCTTGCGGACGCTTCACAAAGACATGGTGGAGACAATCTGAGAACACACACAACATGAGGATAAGTGAAAATGACTGGAACCCAGAAGTTCTGAGCATTACAAAGAGGCATAACATGACCATATGGGAAGAGCTGGAGTTGGCTGGATGATACTATGAACGTGTGTTCATTGACCTGGTCCACTTAACATGGGCCTTAGCACCTGTCTGATTTAGAGGGTCTTTGCAGACAGAACAGTATTCTAATATTACAATGATCTTATGTCTCATCTTAATTTTCTTTGTGAACAAAATCCCGCCCTTTATAAAGTCACTTTACTTCACTGTACTGCTGTCACCTTACATTGTGTGCACCATGTGCACTTGTATATTGTAAATAGCAACTGTAACTCTATTTTTAATTTAAATTTATTCGTTAGAAGTGTTTTTTATTCTTTTGTTTTTTATTATCTCTTTCTGACTGTTGCACTGAGCCAAAGCAATTTCCAAGTCTGTGACTTCCTGTTACTTACGTGGCAATAAAAATGATTCTGATTCTGATCCTGAACATGATGCCAAGTGAGTGCAAATAATATAATATAAATATCTTCTAAAGATTGATAATGTTGTACAATACACAGGCAGCTGAATATCACTGCAAAACATAGTATTAAACACAATTTGTGATGTGTAAAAAATAAATATCAAATGTTCAGAAAGATATGTATAGTGTCTGGATGCAGTAATACTAGCATACAGCTGTTTACATTATAATTAGCCACAACATGGGGTTAACATTATCGTGAGCTAACAGCAAATCATTCCTTTTACAACACAATCCTCTGTTGACAATGCACTCAACAGACACACATATGACAAACACAAATAAAAGTACAGTATTACTCTTGTACTCACATTTTTAATGACTTCGGACGTCGACTTCATGGTGAAGTTTTCCAACAGGTAAATTTTTGATCCAGGAAAAAGCACTCCACTAAAGTTTCTTGCTGATGTCTGATCTGAAAAGTTTTAATAATGCACGACAGAGATTTACAAAGTCCCGTTACAGTTCACCTCAAAAGAGGCATTAGTAAGAATTTTATTTATGGTTGATGAACCTGTAGTATACTTCTTGTACTATATAACTTTACATACCTTCCATGGTCTAATCATCCACTTCCAGAATACTAAATCTGTATTAAAGCCTTGTCTGTTAGTCACCTTACAGTAGTAAATGACTGCATCGTAGGAGTAAAACATCATGTTTTCTATCTTTTTGGTTAAATGCACTTCATTATTCAGGAGGAGCTTTACTCAGTGGTGCAAGCATAGTGACCGGGCACCACTAAAACTGAAACCCTATTTTAAACATTTTAAACTACATTAGGCTTTTATTACATTGCACAAAAGAAAAAAAATTGTCAACAGAAATGACAATAGTTCTGAATGCATGGGTATTTTCATACGGTGTGTGTGCAACAGTATATTATCCACTATCCCCCAGATTATTATCATAGATACATATATTATCAGTAGAACTGCTAGAAATAAGATTAAAAGACCCTTTATTCATCCCACAGTGGGATAAGTTACTGAACAGTAGGAATGAGGAGCACACAACATGATAACAAGATACATGAAAAAGCATCCCACCACTCTACTTAAAACAAAACAAATTTGCTTTTGCTTAAATAAATAAACAGTATAAAAAGGATACGCATATGGGATGAAACTTGTATACTCTACACAGCAAAGAAATGTATACTTGTGTGAATACATCTGTAGTACACTAGTGCTAAAATATTGAAGGAATAAATCATTAACTAATGATAAGATCCACTGAACCTGACTTTCCTGACCAGCTGACCAGCTGACGCGTGATGACCGCATCACGTTGCGTTAGTGTCCAGCAGATGATGGCTCCTGGATGACACCTCTCTCACCTCCCTCTGCGCCTGTATGCAACAGCGCCACAAACTGCACCTCTCCTCTGCTCCTGCGGCATGTTGCGAGTGCGTGCGTCTTCTGTGCCCGGGATGTCGGAGCTCAGCGGGCTGTAGTTGTTAGCAGAGGCCGAGCACAGAACGCCTTCACCGGGGAGGAGCACAGCTGTTCTGCCCCTCCGAGAAGCGCGCATTCCGGATACAGCATGAGCAGCTAGGCCCTGGGAGAGACCGAGGCGACATCCGCTGCAGGTATGCGACACAGGCTGCACCGATACACGATTGTTCACAGTTTGCATGGAATCAGCTGGTGCATTTTGGATTACGTTGGGACAAAGGGGACCAGCTTGACACGGCCCTGGTCTACCTGCTGCTGCTGCTGCTGCTGCCACTGCTGATGATGATGATGGAAGATGACAGCTTGTTGTACAGGCTTTTGTCGTAGCGGTGTTTGTCCTTTTAAGGTCATTCACGAAGGATTATTAAACACGATGAAATAGTAGTATACTAATACAATTCTGTAATAACTGTGTAATAGTTTGTGTTTGTATTCATACTGGTTAAATGGGGACCATGTCTCCATTATGTATGCTGTTGTGTAAATGGGATATACCCCTATGCTGCTCTGTGCACAAGAAGGATCATAGCATCCCATAAGAATGATCATAGCATCCCAATAGTTAGTCAAAATCAATTTCTAATCCTCTGCATTGTGTGTTTGGAATATTCTGCTAAAGAACATGTAGGTATCTACCGGACTATTCTAGAATATTTTCATAGGTATTAATTGTTCTGCAGCAAAACACTGCATCTACCCAGGTGTAACTTCTCATGGGTTTTAGTGGTTGGTTATTTTTTTCTCTTTAATATGCAAGTATACAGCTCACATTTTCATCTGTTGTCCTCTTAATAATGACGTTCATAGATCATTATTCCACATGTTGAACAAATAGTTCTACAGAATTATCTGTCAAACATGGTTGAATGAGTGGCCTGTAAACTGAAGCTGAAGGATGGAGAAGGTTCACTCTGCTTCAATGGTGTGATCGGGAAAGACACATGTGTGTGTCTGTGCAATGGGAGCTAAAATCAACGTATGGTGGTTAGATTAAAAATAATGATCTGCTGTTGAGATTAGGCTTTGATGAGCAGAGATGCACAGAAATAATTGTTGGACAATTTCACAAATCCACAAATAATCCATGATGACTCGCTGCCCTCTGAAACAATGGTGTGTGACAGCCCTTGTGTTGTGACTAAACATAATCCATGAACACAATTCCAATTTGTCTGTTTGTATCTTTGTCTATGCTTTAGTTTAGGGTTGTGATGAAGGATTGTTTTGCTAATTATAAATAATTATAAAGTGGGTTAGGTTAGTTAGTTGTTTAGAACATGAAAGACAAGTACATATGGGAATTTATTTTTGTTTTTATCAAAGTAAAGCTTAAGCTACTCAACACAACATTCAACAACTACTCTGATCTGTAACTTGTTCATATTCCTCCCACAGACATGGCCTCCCAGGTCCAGGTCTTCTCTTCTCCGTCTGTCTCCTCCAGCGCCTACTCTCGCTCCAAACGGCTCAAAGTGGAGAACTCCTCCTGGGACCCAATGTCCAACAACCAACTGGACAATATCCACAACCACAACAACAATAACAACAACAACAACAGCAGCAGCTACTACCAACCCCAGCAGAGCCCAGCCCAGGGCATCGCACCCTCAACCTCCTCTTTCAACCCCAGCCATGTCTACAGCAGCTCCCAGACTCGGCCCCCGGAGCAGACAGTGGTCAGGGCGGCGGACAGCACGGGCAGTTTGAGAGGTCCGCCATCTTGTTCTTCGTCTTCATCAACTTCAAGCCGTCGCGTTAAAGATGCAGAGTCTTCGTCACAACTCTACCACAAGCAGTACAGTGTGAAGAGGAAGAGCGAGGAGGTGGACAGCAGCGACAGTGTGCAGATACTGGAGGAGCTGTCAGCTCCTGTCGTGACCAACAGGACAGCAGGAGGAGGGGGCACGACCAGAGGTGGGCCCTGTCACAACCACTCCGTGTCAACAAAACCTCCAGCCATTTACTTACACTTTCTCCATTGCCGGGTCACAGGGGCAGCAGTCTAAGCAGAGACACCCAGACTTCCCTATCCATACATTTAAACATAGGGAATTCCTTATTATTATTCCTTATATATGCATTGAAAGCACTTAATGTCACTAGTACAAAACATTTACCCTTAAGGATCTAACAATACACATCCAAAATGAATACAGCTCTAAAAACATGAGTTACTATAGATAAACTCAAAAAGCACTCAAAAAAGACCCAGATATCTTACAAAACTGTATAATTTGTTCCTTGTCCGAATCAGAATACACCACTTCACTTCTTATCAGTTAGCATTAGCATCTATAAGAAGCATTAGCATTCTATAAGAAGTCATAGGAGTTACATACAATAATTTAGTTATTATTATGTACATATATTGTCATTTTCTTTCTGATACTCCCCTGGGCGTCCTTGGGTGTCCCTGGTACTACATCTGGGCCACTAGTGCCAGTTAAGAGGCCTATTATGCCTGGTGCTATTTTTGTATGTACAATTCTCTAGTGTGAGATCAATCAAGTCTATCTTATCTTATCTTATTTTTAACAGATTTTTTCTTTCTGTTAACAATGCAAATTCTTAGGCCCTCAACTCCAAGTTAAAAGTCATACATTGCCACATTATTGCCTGAACAAAAATTCTATCAGTATTATTTGTTGTCATTTTTGTTTCCCTCAGGTACCACCACAGCTCAGTCCATCGCACACTCGACTTCTACGACCAAAAGCAGCACGTCCCACAGTGAGGGCGATTACCAGCTGGTGCAACATGAAATCCTCTGCTCCATGTCCAATAGTTATGAGGTGCTGGAGTTCTTGGGCAGGGGCACCTTCGGACAAGTGGCCAAGTGCTGGAAACGAGGGACAAACGAGATCGTGGCCATTAAAATCCTCAAGAACCACCCGTCGTACGCACGGCAGGGCCAAATAGAGGTGAGAAAGTACTTACTAAACTTTTGAATACAGAAAAAATCCATTTGTTTGTCAGTCATTCTAATTGTTTTATAGTGTTTAATTTATGTAAGGATTTTTTTTTCATTATCTGTACTTTTTACTCCTATCCTTTCTATTTTAAAATGACTAGTCTCTTTGCAAATGACAACAAGTAAAACACAAGTTTGAAGTTGATAGTTATGCTTCTAAAGGAATTAATTCATGATGGTTAGCCATGTTCCTAAGTCCAGATGTCCATTTGGCTTAAAACACGTTTGTTTCTTGTCATTTTTGCCAAAATGTTTTTGCACTGTCATATTTGCCAGTTTAGCCATGTTTTTGCACCGGTACAATGTTATTTCCACCGGTACAGTGTTTTTGCATCACTTTCATGGACAAGTTTTTAAAATGCCAGCCTCATGAAATAAATATATTGTTAGTAAATAATTCAACACAAATGCCTTTTAAATACATTTTATTTTCACCCCTCATCACCTAAACAACCTCCATGGCGTGCTTCTGTTTGCTTCTGTTTGGTGCAGGTGAGCATCTTGAGCCGCCTGAGCACAGAGAACGCAGACGAGTTCAACTTTGTGCGTTCCTACGAGTGTTTCCAGCACAAGAACCACACGTGTCTGGTCTTCGAGATGCTGGAGCAAAACCTCTATGACTTTTTAAAGCACAGTAAGTTCAGCCCCTTGATGCTGAAGTGCATCAGACCCATCCTCCAGCAGGTGGCGACGGCGCTGATGAAGCTGAAGAGCCTGGGACTGATCCACGCGGACCTGAAGCCCGAGAACATCATGCTGGTGGACCCACTACGACAGCCGTACCGGGTCAAGGTCATAGACTTCGGATCGGCCAGTCATGTGTCCAAAGCCGTGTGCTCTACCTACCTGCAGTCACGCTACTACAGGTGAGGGAGCCAAAGAATGATAAGGCAGAATGCTGCCTGCTGCTTTGTGATTGGCTGGGGTCATTGTGCTGCTGGTTGCCATTGTGTTGTTGCACATTGCTCTGATACTGGCTCCAAACATATGGATGTAAAAATTATATACACAGGGGTGGAAATTTATAAGATTGTTCTTCCTCCCACTCCTTTTTGAGTTCGACTAATGTACATTTAAGTAATTGTAAATGAATGATTTGCTAGAAAATTCTATGTAGTGACATTTGATAATTAATGTTTGATGTACATTAAACCTAAACCTCGTGTCATTCTGGATGATTTTGATCTTAAATTAAAATCACCACTGTTTTAATCTGAAGGAGAGCCTGTTCCTTAGTATAAACAAAGCAGAAGGAACAACGGTTTGCTTTGACATTTCCCTTATACAGTTGAGACTAGTAATAAAGTAGTAAACGTTTAAAAAACACAGAATGTGAACATATGAAGTTTGGTAATGTCAGTGTTAAAACATGTAATGTAAGTGTGTCATCTTTAATGAATGCTGCATTTGTCCTCAGAGCTCCAGAGATCATCCTGGGCCTTCCCTTCTGTGAGGCCATAGACATGTGGTCTCTGGGCTGTGTGATCGCGGAGCTGTTTTTGGGCTGGCCGCTGTATCCAGGAGCCTCTGAGTACGACCAGGTCAGAGACATTTACACATCGTTACTGCTGATACTAATACTGCGTGTGGACTTTAGATTAGTGTCCTTTATGGCACTCCTCCAGGAAATCATTTTCACATAATTTGACCCTTCATTTGGTTTGATTGTTCATTATAAACATGGACGACATTGTGGCAATGTGGAAATTCCTGGTTTCTATATAATCTGTATGGTGTTTGCATATTCTGCTTGTCTCTGCATAGTTTCCCCCCATCTTTACCAAAATATGGGCAATAGACTTTTCCCCTTTGTGGACATGACATTTCAACATTGGTTAAGGTTTGAGTTATCATTTATAATATTTTACCATGTCACACAATGTCAATGTCATTGCAACTAGCCACTTTTTCCAAACCGGGGATGCCTTAGGACATGGACACAGCAACTTACTTCTCAAATCTATTTAAACATTGTATTCATTTTGGCCCTTATAGAGTTAAACATAAATAACTGAAGCTTTTACTCAGCCTTAAATACATATATTTATAGGATTTTTATTTCCCAGAGGCTGAACTCAACAAATTATGTTGAAGTAGATTACAGACCCGTGCTGATCATTGATGAGTGTGAAAGACGTCATGTTTCTTGATGTCTTTCAGATCCGCTACATCTCTCAGACACAGGGCCTTCCAGCGGAGTACCTCCTCAGTGCAGGCACCAAAACCAGCCGCTTCTTTAACCGCGGCCCGGACTCCAGCTACCCCCTGTGGAGACTCAAGGTGACACCGCTGGGTCCTACAGTCTATGGTCCTACTGTGAACCAGGCTCTGCTCCATGAAGCCTCATACTTGTGTTTATGTGCAGACGCCATCAGAGCACGAGGCAGAGATGGGAATCAAGTCAAAAGAAGCGAGGAAGTACATCTTTAACTGTCTGGACGACATGATGCAGGTGAGGCGGATCCCACACTGCAGCAGGAGAGCAGCAGGAGTGCATCAGGAGAGCATCAGGAGAGCAGCAGGAGTGCATCAGGAGAGCATCAGGAGAGCATCAGGAGAGCAGCAGGAGTGCATCAGGAGAGCATCAGGAGAGCAGCAGGAGTACATCAGGCGTTCAAGGAATATTAGTAGCCTCATCCGCAATTCACTGTTTTAAGTCATTTTGTGAAATACTTCTTCTCCTTTGGAGGTTATAAACACACGTTGTCAAATTTCATAGATTGATGATGTCGTATGTACATCAATAATTGTGGTTTTTAAGTTCATAAATCATCACCAAACCACAGTTGTTATCCAGATTTTTACACAATGAGAGAAAAGACTTCCCTAGTACTGCCGTAAAGTAGATCTTAAATAGGACTACACTTTCAATAAATAATTTTTATTCTCATATCACATACAGTAATACAAAACTAGAAAATCACTCGTAGAGCGAAATCAGTTTGACCACCAGACGATGATTTGGGTCACGTCCAAATTTTAGTTGAGCCCTGAGCCTTTCCTCACGTTTCTTGAAAATATCGCCCAAATCCTTTGTGAGTTATGTTGCTCACAAAAGACAAACAAATAAACAAACAACAGACAAACCGTGGTAATCACTTTACCTCCCGGACAGAGGTGATACATTACATGTGGGTGTGTAGTGTATGTTGGTGGCCATACCTGCATGTGAAAGGCAGGGAAGGGCCTGGTTAGTGCTGTGATGGGAGACCTCTGGGAACACCAGGTGCCATAGTGGGCCATACTGGTTGCCTCGCTTCTGTCAGTGTGTCCCAGGGCAGCTGTGGCTACAGTAGTAGTTGGTCACCACCGTGTATGGAGTGAATGAATACTGACATGTAAAGAGTCTTTGAGTGTCCAAATAAACCTTTGAATTATTTTGCAGGTGAACATGACAAATCTTGAGGGCACAGACATTTTAGCAGAAAAGGCCGACAGAAGAGAGTTTATCGACCTCCTAAAGAAGATGTTGACTCTTGACGCGGACAAACGCATCACCCCCATGAAGACCCTCAACCACCCGTTTGTGACCATGACCCATCTGCTGCACTTCCCCCACAGCTCGCAGTAAGGACTTTCATACTACTGTGGTATAAACCACTACTTTCACCCATCTGGAGATATCAATTTGATACAAGTACAATCATATATTTTAATTTTCAGTGTGAAGTCCTGCTTTCAGAACATGGACATCTGCAAACGCCGCTGCAGCGCCTTTGAAAATGGGAAAAACATGTTCAGCAACAACACCCCGAGTGCAGCCACCAACCTCACAGTGACGTTCAGCAGCCAACTCAACCAGCACAACCAGGTCAGACCCTGAGTCAAGTCAAAATAAAGAATGATCAAAAAGCCATATTTTTCATTGAGCATAAACCTAAACCAAAAGGAAACTTACATAAAAAGACCCAGGGTGCTATTTCCTTATACACTGAGCGACACAGGTCGGTGTAACAATAATTTAGAGAGCAATAACATACATGTGGGACAGGTGAAGAATGTTATAAAAATTGACACCAGTCACATTTGGGATAATAATGTGTATTTTGACAGCGTTTCAAGCCACATAACAAGAGTGAAGCTTTTACCATCTTTTATGAAGTTGTCCTGTGTTTGAATGTTTATATCGCTCCCTGTGGATGATACGATTGCTCTCCTTTGTTATATTGTGACTCCCTGGGGTCCTGGGAGCCCTGTACTGCAACTTCAAAGGACGGATTTTGAAATTCATAAATTTGTTTTGACTTTTATTCCGACATTTCCCTGTCTTCGAATAAAAGATAGCACCGGACCAAACAACACATCCACGTTTCCCACTGTTGTTCAAAGTCAACGGGGCATTTCAAAAACATGTGGCTACAGTGGGAAAAGGCATATTTGAATTGCTTGATAAGCTTTGTTAGTATTTGTAAAATTCTCTAGTCTAGACTAAAGATCCCTTGTGCATTGACTTTGATTAAAGGGGGCATGCACTGGTCAAAACGATGAAGTCTCAAGTATATGAAGTTTATCTCGCAAACTACACAAATAGATCACATTGTTACATACATAGTTCAATTGATAATCATAGTACTTCTTCCTTTGCAGATGGCTGCGACAGGAGGCCAGTCCCTGTCCCTGAGCAGTAATGTCCCGTTATTGAACTACCAGCCTGGACTTTACCAGCAGGCCACCATCAACATCCCAGGACTGACCCAACAGAGCGTCCCACTGCAGACACGCTCCAGCCAGATCTGCCCCCAAACCGAGCCCTTCCAACAGACACTCATCGTCTGCCCACCCACTATTCAAGGTACACACTGTGCTTGGACTAATCTAGAGCTGTCTAGATTAGTGTTAATGACTACTGGGTATTTTTCCCCATAACAATCGGTTACTGATCTCAAGAAGAGGCTGATATTTTGATTGTGTGGACGACCTGTAGATACTGCAAAAACACTAGGAAGGAAATGATACAATTTGATAAAAACACAGAGACATATTTTGGCCATTCTAATGTTATAGCAATGAGTGCTCTCTTACCCCCTCATTTACTCAATTTAAGTTTTTTTAAAAGTATATCAAGCATGCATAAGTAGTCATTGCCCTGAATTCAAAATGGAGAGTGAAAAAAGCATTTATTTAAAGTAGATGCATCTTCTCTTCTGAATCACAGGCCTTCAAACCTCCAGTAAGCCGTCTGGATACCCGGTGAGAATGGACAACTCTGTTCCGTTAGTTCCTCAAAACCAGTCGTCTCAGCCGCTGCACATTCAGCCGGGCATGTTGGCACAGGTAGGTCACTGTCTGTGTTTCATTTGTTGATGGTCTAACCAACCACGTCAGCTAAGTCAAAGTACTTATGCAACATTTACATTTATTATTGCGGATAAATATGGAACATATATTAATAACTGTTTTTTGTTTGCATCAACAACATGATGATGATGGTAAAAATCAGCAATGTCTGTTACTTAAATGTAGTATTGATAATGGGGAAAGCACCTACAGTTCAAGCGTTTTGCTTCTGCCTTCTCCTCTTGAGCTTTGTCTCTTGTATTATATATTATATGTACCTGTTAAAAAAATATCTTATAAAACTTCTCAAATAAAACTACTGCTACTCATAACAGCAGAGTTCAGATCTAAGTTCAACATGCCTTTTGTATATCACATTTATCTGTTGGCTTCTTTCCACACTTCATCCAGGTGTAGGATGTGACTGTCTTCTCATGTGTTCACAGCAGGGGTGGCCCACCGGCACTCAGCAGATCCTGATCCCCTCCACGTGGCAGCAGATGCCCGGGATGACACTCCACAATACTGGGCAGGCCGTGGTCCCGGACTCACCCATGGGTGCCCCACTGTCTGACACACAACACAGTGCAGGATGGAGGTGAGAGATTATTAAAGTCTTTCTAAGGTTTTCTCGTAGTTTCTGTGCCAAACGTCTCCAGGCTTCCAATGAGAAATATAGTTTAAACTTGACCAATTGTAATGATCAAAAATATTGATATAAAGTTAATGTGTATTCACAGGGGTCGCCATGGTAGCCAGTGTGATGCAGCCAATCAGGAGTCTAGTCGTCACAACTCGGGACCTGTCCACTCCAGGTCCCAGCAGAAGAGAGGAAAAGGACGACACGAGAATAGGACCAGGTACTGACCATGTTGACTCTGGAGGGGTGCAGAAAATGTTTAGATGATATAATTTGTATATGAATAGTTTGTAATGATAACGTGCTGCACATGAATATCAATACCAGTCAGGCAATTCTGTGGCAGTAACAGGTGACATTTGCCTGTGTGTTATTTGCATGTTTGCACTTTTGTTGCTGGTTCCTTTTGCTAAAATCTCCCACAGTATAGCAAAAAAATGAGGATAACGTTGATTTCTGATTGTCTTCTCACAGAGCGGTGGTGGTTCACAGCACTGCAGCAGGGGACCAGTCTCAGCCGATCGTGATCTCAGACACGCCCAGTCCAGCGGTCAGCATCATCACCATACACAGCGACTCTGAAGATGAGGAGGACAAGAAGCAGCCACCGGCCTGGTTATTATTATTATTATTATCATTATTATTATTGCTGATAGTAATTGATTGAACAATTCATTCTTGAACTATTTAGGTTTTAGTATCAGCAGAAAATGTTGATCTATACGGTTTTGGTTTTGTCAGCTCTGGGACCAGTCAAAGGACCAACGTCATCAGCTGTGTGACCGTCCACGACTCGGACTCGTCGCTGAGCAGCCCCCTGAGCCCAAAGAGCTCCACACAGACGGCCAAGTCCACCGCTGTGATCATGCCCAGTGTGAAGAGCCAGGGGGCGCCAGAGAGCACAGCATCACACAGAGCACAGTCCAACCAGGGTATGCACTCTCTGGAATAATGTGTGCTTTATGAAGTCTGCTCACTTCAATGTTCCTACTGTACCTATCCAATCAAATCCATTTTATTCATATAGCACATTGTATGAAAAGTTTACAAAGTGCTGCACAGAGACAAAAGTAACACATTTGAATGTAAATGTCTGCCAGCTTTAAAAAATAAGGTTAATAAAACATTAAGACTGAATAGAATTAATACAAAATAATTTCTATATAAATTGGTCCATACGTATTTACTCTGGTGGAAAGTAACACAAATGTAAAATACTGAACTTTTAGCTGGGGTACTTTTTAAACAAGTAGATATTTAAATGGAACACTTCTGCTTCATTTACAAATGTGTGTGACAGATCTGGAATACTGTTGTTTGCTGCAGCTCTAATGTGTGCGTGTGTTTACAGTGTGTTGTATTCAAACTACAGATCAAGCTCAAAGTGGAAAGTCTAAGAAAAGTGTCCAGCCCAGTCAGGGCGGAGACACTTCCTCAGAGAGACATCAGCGTGCAGCCTCCAGCCGATCGCAGCCTCTCAACCTGAGCCAGGTACAGAAGAGTGGATTAACACTGGGAATGGGATGAACGATAAGACACACAACTGGACACAAGTGGCTGGACTTTGTAATTAGAGATAAACTCAATGTGCTTTGAAGAGAAGTGAAAGATACAGTACATTAAAACCATTAACAGCAGCAGTTCTAATATTCTGGATATACTGTACACAAAGTCTATCAAGCATGAGTTTTTGAAATCAAGCAACACTGATTACAACATCCTTGAAACAGATCTCTTTGAACTTCAGTCATATTTTCATGGTCAAATACAGGTCAACAAAGGAGAAAGTCAATAGCATCCTGTCTGATCACAATATTTCATCAACTCGCACAAATTATTGAAGCTATACCCAATTTCTTTTAAAAATTGTGTTAATAAAAATGCTTATTACTACATACAAGTTGTATTATAATCCGTAATTTAATTGAAAACTTGAGCTCATTGATTCAGCTGTGTATGAATTCAGGCCGTAAAAAGTGTTGAGTAGAGACTTCGCTCTCCTCCACTCACAGAACGAGGCTGCGTCCTCTAGCCTCTACAGCTCTGCTAAACAAGAGCAGAATGGAGGCAGAAAGTACCTCCTCTGAGTGTATCTGCAGACACAGCAAAACAGCCCGAACAATGCAACAGTGAGGAAGAGAAGAGGGAACTAAAGCGAAAAAATGATCAAAGAAATCAAGCCCGTGTGAACATATGTAGCGTTAGCTTATATTGTATCCTCTGGAGAGACTTGTCTATGGTAGAGACTTGCGGGTGCGGACCGCCTCAGACTACAGTACATTCAGACGTGAAACTAGCGGTAATCTTTCTGTTATATATTTTGTTAGCAGTGCGTTGCTTTTGTACCATTTCATCAGTGATTGTTGTACAGCTTAAGTTGCGCTCATGCTAATGTTTGCAAATGTACCAGATTGCAAATGAAACTAAATGGCTTCGTGGCATGAGAGCGTAGGGGAAATGAGAAGCCGAGTTGGGGACGGTACTAAACATTTAAACCTTGCAGAAACGGGTATAGCTCCTTTAATGTGACTATGATTACATAAACAAAAAACCTTGAATGTTATCTGAATCTATTTGAACCATAAGAGAAAAACTGGTCTGAAACACAGCATTAATAATTGATACCAACATGGGTTTTTAGGACATCTCTAGAGGTATATAGAAAGGTATATTTGCATATATCATGTATTGGTTTCACAATGTAAAGTTGAATCACAGAAATAAATTAACTTTTGAACGATATTCTAAAGTTTCACCTTTACTGGTCGGTATCCTATTAATAAAATAGAATCTGTCTGTTCCAGGTGCAGCAGTCAGTCCTGTCCTCCACCCACGACCCAACAGGCACATCAGTGAAGCGCCAGTCCACCTACGCCCCTCCCGCCTCCCCGCACGCCTCCTACCGACTGCACGAGAGCTCCGCGTCCATCTTCACCTCCGCCCCGAGCCTGTACGCTTACCCAGCCTCCGCCGCGTTGGCTTCCGTGTCGCAGGCGGTGGACCAGGGCAGGCAGAGCAGCGCCCCCTACGCCCCCTCCCTGGCTCTACTGCAGAAGAACCCCCAGTACCACCACCACCACCACCCACCAGCCCCCGCACACACAAGCACACCCCCACCACACGCATCACCTCAGCGGGCAGCCCTTCCACCGCTCCACGGCCCCCTACCAGAGAAAACTCAACCCCTACCCCTATCTGTGAGCGCCAGGGCAAAGAGACTAGAGGAGCACAAGTTCAGAAGAGCGGGTTTGACTTGAATTTAACTAAACGTTCTCTTTCTGTGCCCCAAACTCACTGTATGAGGTCAGGAAACAACTCTAGCCCTTTGCACATAACAACCACATTCAATTCAATGTCCAATTTTATTTATTTTTGTATAGCTCTAAATCACAACATTAGCAGTCGTTTCGTCTGACTTTTTTATTTATTTCTATTTATTTATTTATTTGATATGGACACAACAGTTACATTGGACGGACCAGATGCACTGCCTTTAGTGTTTTAGCAAGACCATGCTAATTTTCAACACTTGTCCAGAGAAGGCTTTTAGGCTTTACAAAGTTGTTGATTTACCAGGAAAAAGATCAGAGAATCAAACAGTTCGAACACAGAAAATGCAAAAATAACAAACGCATAGTGTTTGTTATTAGGTCCTTTGGGGGCCGGGTTGACCATTGTGCATAAATGTTCATAAATATTCTTAATAGATGTCCCACATCAAAAACAAATATTCATAAAGAAAATATTCCCTGAACCACAGTGGTCTTCAAACTGGGTCAGACAGGGCTAGTGTGGTTTCAAGTTTTCATTTCAACACGACACCACTCATTTCATCAAGTGAGCCCAGTCTACTGTGGTTCTGCTTGGTTGGAATGAAAACCTACTGCCACGAGACCCTTTGAGGATGGATTCGAAGACCGCAGACTAGGCCTATTTTAGGGATTTTTAGAGCTTTAAAAAAAATCATTATTATCACATATTGACAGATTGATGTTTGCGTTACTCTATTTGTGCATTTACCCGACACAGAGACCGAAGCAATCTAAAAAATACGACCCTTGGTAAAATCAAGTTGAATAGCCCTGGACTAGACCATAAACACCCTTAACACATTAATATATGCGCTTAGTAATACAATATTTATTACAACAATTATTTTTTCTTATTATTTAATTTGATATTTTAAATGGGTGTACCTCTGTGAAATGGATATGCACTGCAGGATTCAAACACAGAAATGCAAAACACTCATTTTACGCAATTAAAATCACCATTTAAATGCTTGGATTGACATTTGAATTGGCATTTTTGGACACTTCAGACTTTCAGATGCTTGTGAATGGAATTTTCAGTCAAACGTGGCCTAAATGTCACATCCAGTGAGTTTGGGGCCTCACTTTGAATCTATAAAGAACATGTTGTGCTTTCCATGTGTCATTCTGCTCCAGCACAGTCAAAATCAGGTATCTGCTTTTCATTTAGCTTCAGCACAGTTTTTTTCCCCCTACATATTTATGCATTTTAAATCAATCAACAGTTGTAGCTATTATGTATGGTCTCATGTATGTTGATCTGATCAGCTTTCTATACATTATGAAGTCTGTGACAAATGATCTAAAACTAAATAAAACTATATTTATCATTGGGAGCCATGAAAATAAGATGAATAGATATTTTAGTTTAGAACTCTTTCGGCATATTTCATCCCCCCAATACTACAAAACATTTAAGCTGCACTCTTCATGGAGACGTCGTTACAGTTACAGGTTTAATATCCCGAGACATTAAATTAAAATGGCATCTCCTGAACCTGAATAGTTACCTAGTGCACCTATAAAACCTTTAGAAAATTGGTCATAATCTCAATATTGTTAATGCAATACTTGTACTTGTTTTTGTCTATTATATTACTGCTATATTTTCAAAAAAACTATAATCCAAATATTCCAACGCCAGATTTATTAGTCGTTTAATCACTGATGTTCACCTTAGAGATCCAGAAAAGTCCAACTTCTCCTATCTAAAAGTCTGCACGCTGTGATAGATTTTAGATTTGTGCGTTTGATTTCTTACTGTGTCTGTGTGAGTGTTGTGTACTGTAGGATAAATGTGCCTCTTTATGTACTCTTATTGACGTCACTGTGGTTCTCTGTCCCGGTCTGGTTGGTGGGAGGTGAATGATAATGCAGCACAATATCACTGTAAAAAATGTCATATACTCCAGAGCTAAAATGATTTGAATACAGAATATTAATCTTGTTGTGTATATATATATAATTGAGTAGTTTGGAGTTGTGGATTATTCTATTTACTATAACCAATGCCTTTGTGTAGTTTATAATAATGTATTGGTCTCAACGTGTACAGTGCTTTTCCACATCTTTAAAAGTGTCGGGATTTTTCTGCACTGAGATGTAATGTGTAATATTCCGGACACATGAATGAAAACAATAGATACATTGGATATAATCTGAACGGGTTTTTTCACAATTTAAATACATTTCCCAGTATCTTATAACTTAATCCTGTGGTATCTAACTTTTTTTCTTTTTCATAATTACTGTGTTGTGTTTGCCCCAACTGAACTCACTGAGAGATAGTATTTTGCTTACTTAAAAGAAAAAGGTCCCTGTGAGTCACTATTTGATACTTTGGGCTGATTGGCAGAGGGTTTGTGGTCCTCCCTTTTTCAGAGGCCAAAAATACTGTGAAAACTACTGATAAAACCAAAATGTTTTTGTTGTTGTTGCAAGGATCTAGTTGTCTTGGATTTTTATCACATAGTTCTGTAATTTAATGGATTTTTAAAAGTTAGGTACCCCAGCTTTAAGTCACAAAAAGATGTCATATTTCTGCTATTATCTTTGACCAGTTATACTCTTCAACAATCTGACATACATGTGATTCTGCTCAGGCAACATCACATTAAAGGAAGTTGATTGATCAAGCACTACTACTACTACTCTAAACAAGATGTGATATATTGCATCGGAGTCATTTTTAACTCATGGATATCACTTTTTTTACAGAGGTTAAGGCTGCATGTGTCGAACTTTGAAGTAGCAGTGGGAGGAGAGGGGTGGGCTCAAGATGGTGCAACGGCGACGTTCTATTCCTTACTACACACAGTATTACTTGAAACTATCCGAGCTCCTGTTTTGTGGTGTTTGTGAATTTGGTTTCACATGCAGCTTTATATGTACAGGTCCTGGGGATGTAACGATAGCCAACCATTATAATGCAATATAATTATGTGTAATGTTTACTGTGATTATGTGCGTAAGCTTGTAGGATTGTTGAAATGTACTCTAAAATGCCTTAAAGGAGACATACTGTGCTTTTGTCTGCTATATACTTATTATCTATGTTCCCACTGCATCGTTCGTTATAGATTTTAACCTAATCTAAATTGCAATATTGGTCTAATTTAGGATGCCTTTAAGCTTTGTCACATTTCAAGATTAAAAGGTTGTCACTGACTGAATTACATATTGGCCAAAAAAAATCATCATTGCTTTCTATTCTGCCAAACAGCACAATTTGCTATAAATATTTGTTAATGCATCAATGATATTTACTTTTCTATTCATCTCCTTAGAAATGAAAAGAGTTTTCAGTGTGGCATTAAATGTGTCTATACTTTGCATTAGCTGTTTTCCAAAAAACTGAAACATGGATCCGTTGGGATTGCCACTCCACAGATCTAACCCATACTTTACTCTCGTGGGACACACTGCAGATGTGTAAAAAACCGAGGCCATATTGTGGGAAAGTTCAAGGCAAAGCATGATAAATGTGTGATCTTTTCTTATACGCTCTTGCAGTCATGTCCACATGTTGTTACATCCCTGGTCGCATCAACACTTAATCTTTGGATGTTGTGAAGTGCTGCATTTAAAACGCACAGACAATAACCCAAAATAATACAATAAACCTTTCAAAATAAACTTGTGTCTCTGTGTACGGCCACAAATCATGGTTGTGATATTACGAGAGATGTGAAAAACACTAACAATGATAAACATTATAGAGCTTCCAGACCTTATGACCACATTATATATTTGGAGTGCCTCTTTTAATTTTTACAGTGCCATTTATGCAACACAATGTGGTTGTGTCCTTAGGCAAGACACATCCCGATCCCACATGATCTCGTTATGAGTCTGGTGTGTGCGTAAACGGTTCAATCAATCAATCAATCAACGTTTATTTATAAAGCGCTTTTTCATACAAGATGCAACACAAAGTGCTTTACAGTTTGGCTAAAAAACAATCCTGCCCATGCCCTCCCCCCGTCCGCCCAACAGACCCTCCCCAGACCACAAGCAAACACCCCCCCCCCCACACACACACACGCACACACACACGCACCGATAAAACAATAAAACGATGATGAGAGACTTGGCAGGGTTCAGATGCAACCGGCTGAAGAAACGCCATCCAAGGAGCCGTCAGCGCCAGGAGCAGAGAGCCGCCCATAGCCAAAGGGGACGACACAGGACCCAGAGGGGACCCAAAACCGAGCCCCCGGGCCCCCACCAGGTCCAAGAGTCCGACCCCCACAGCCACAGCCAACCACCGCTCCCAGCGCAGAGGGCTCCTCCAGAGGAAACACTGGGGATACTTAAAAACAATACAATAAGTAAAACACTAAAATGTGAGCCTGAAAGGAACTATCACACAAAACATGAATAAAAGCAATAGCAATATAATAAATAATAAAGGATAAATAGAATATATAAAAATGGACTAATAAATACTAATCAAAAGCTAATCTAAAAAGGTGTGTCTTGAGCCTGGCTTTAAAAATATGAACGTTCTCTGCGGCCCTGAGCTCCTCCGGCAGACTGTTCCAGAGACGGGGGCCGTAGTGTTGGAAAGACGCCTCACCGTGAGTGTGTGTCCTGACTTTTGGAATGGTTAGGAGTCTGCTGCCGGAGGAGCGCAGGGGCCGGGAGGGTTCATAGGATAAAAGCAGTTCTGAAAGATAAGAAGGCCCAAGACCATTAAGACATTTGAAAACCATTAGGAGAACCTTAAAATCAATCCTGAAACACACGGGGAGCCAATGCAGCGATTTTAAAACCGGTGTAATGTGGTCCCGCCCCCTGGTCTTAGTCAGGACACGTGCGGCCGAGTTTTGGAGTAATTGTAAACCTGAAATGTTCTTTTTGGGAAGACCAGAGAGCAGGGCATTACAGTAGTCAATGCGACTGGTTATAAAAGCATGCATCAGCGTCTCCGTGTTGGCCCGAGAGAGAATGGGGCGGACTCTGGCGATGTTCTTCAAATGATAAAAACCTATTTTTGTTATATTCTTAATGTGAGGAATAAAAGTCAGCTCAGAGTCAAAAATTACGCCCAGGTTTTTCACATGTGGTGATGGATTAAAAGAGTGTGATTGGAGTTTTGGTAAAAGTTTCTCTCTCTGGGCCTCAGGACCGATGACTAAAACCTCAGTTTTGTCCTGGTTAAGCTGGAGAAAGTTTTCTGCCATCCAGGATTTCAGGTCTAAAATGCAGTTAAAAAGAGCATCCATTGGCCTGGTGTCATCAGGAGACATGGAGATGTACAGCTGAGTATCATCTGCATAACTGTGGAAGTTAATTCCATGTCTCCTGATGACACCGCCAAGCGGGAGCATGTACACGTTAAAAAGGACTGGACCTAAAATGGAACCCTGGGGCACACCACATGTGATTTTATGGACCTGAGAGGAGCAGGTATCCAAACTTACCATGAAGGATCTGTCTGTTAAATAAGAAGTGAACCATTTGTGGACAGCACCAGAGAGGCCGAGGTGTTGTAGGCGTGATAAAAGAATGGTGTGGTCTACTGTGTCGAAGGCAGCGCTAAGATCCAGTAGAACCAACACGGTCACCTTTTTAGAATCATAATTTAATCTAAAATCATTTAAAATCTTTAAAAGAGCCGTCTCTGTGCTGTGGTTCACCCTAAAACCTGATTGAAATGTCTCTAAAATTTGCTGTTGATCTAAAAAGGCATTGAGCTGGGTAAAAACAAGTTTTTCTAAAATTTTGCTTAAAAATGGTAAGTTGGATACCGGTCTGTAGTTGTTAAGATCATTAAAATCTAAATTGCTCTTCTTCAGAAGGGGCCTCACCACAGCCGCTTTGAAGGCTGCAGGAAAGACCCCAGTCTGCAGAGAGCAATTCATCAGGTTTAAAAGCTCCTCTCTAAAAGATTCATAAAATGACTTAAAAAATGGAGTGGGGACTGGATCTAAAAGACATGTGGTGGGCCTCACTGAGGAGAAAACTTTATCAAGCATCTCAGCATCAACCAGGACAAAACTGTCCAGTGTTTCCTCTGGTGAAGACAAACAATCAGATGTGTTAAAAACAGTAGTACAATTGGATAAAATGTTACATCTGATTGTGTTTATCTTCCCCATGAAGTGGACTGCAAAATCCTCACAGAGGGAGTCTGTGGGGGTTAAACGAGACATGCTAAAATCAGGGTTTAAAATGGTGTCAATGGTTGAAAATAGGACTTTCGCATTGTTTTTGTTTTGGGTGATTAGTTTTGAGAAATAATTGTTTCGGTTTTTCCTAATTGTTTTGTTGTATGTTTTTTGTTGGTTACTGTACATTTCGTAATTGATTGTTGTTTTGTTTTTCCTCCACCTACGGTTGTTGTTGGCGTTGGAGGTCATCAGGCTGACTCAGGGCAGCTGCGGCTCCATCACAGTTTAGGGAGTCACTGAGTTAGTTACAGGAGAAATAGCGTTTTAAAAACATTTTCTGTTGGGTAAAAATGACAGTATATCATAAAGATCAAGAGTTTGGACAAAGCAACACAAACATATATTAGTCTTGTTTATTATTGATGGAAAAGACTTGAAAACTACGGCAAGGTTTGGCGGAATAAGTGTTAAACTTCAGCTTAACCCTTTCGGTCTGTAAATAATTGATAATCTGTGAAGGTCAAATGTGTTCTTATTTTCTGTTGATGGCTAAAGAATAAATAATAATTTTAAAAAAAGAAATAAAAAGTTGAACATAGATATTAATATTTTACAGTATGTTGGCAATATTAAGGTTGAATTGTATTATCTTTTTTGGCAGCTGTCTCATGATAGAGGGATAATGAAGTGACCGGGCCATTTAACAGAAAGGACAAGTCCAGCAACCATAGTTCATTTTGGAACACTCTCCCCCAACCATGTGGTCTTTTGACTAATGAACCCCAAGAAATATGGTTTGAAAGACTCATCAAGGCTTCGGTGTCATGTTGGTTGCTTCCTCTGTTTAATCCCATCCCTCACCAGTTCATTCAGTGATCTTATCCACACAGCTCATTTTCCTCTGTCATCAACAATGTCACTTTGGACCAATGAGTAAAAGGCACATGGTCCGGCAGCCAATCCCCTCTGGCCTCTCCTCCGTGCGCACAGATAAATAGTCCCACCTCTCTCTCTCCATTCAGACACTTCTTACCCGGACACATTGAGGTCTACTGTGAGAGCGCATTTTCACTTTTCCTTTCTCCATCCACCAGTCCTCTTAACCCAGGAGCCATGGTGAGTATTGGATGAGTTTGTCTGTTATAGTCAACAGAAACTGGATTAGAACTTAGAACATCTGAAATCAGACGGCTCAAGTAAAGATTGGTGGAACAAATGGCCTATTCATTCACGCAGCACACAATAAACTGCAAAAAATATAATTCAAGAAAAATACAAAATAATAGCCTTTTATTGCGTTTTAAAGTGAAAAAATATGGCCTATTGTTCCATATTCTACTAGTCCAGTCAAATAGGTCGACGTTTTGACAGGGCACTGCAAAGAAAGATGAATAATAGATCAAAAAGAGATCATTTTGACTGTCTTAGAACAAGATTTGCCAACTGGACAAGCAGGAAGAAATGTGTCACTTTGAATGAGAAAGGAAAACCAAAGTTGTTGTGTTAAGCCAGTAAGATAAGATAAGACAAACTCGATTTACGCATTTATTACCCGATATGTTTTCATTTTTTGCAGTATGTTCATAATCCATTTAACTTTTTTTGAGGTGCGTTTCTTGTTGTACTGGTTGAGTCCGCTCCAAATTATTCCAAAAGAGATGGCTTCATGTCTATACAAGAAACATGTTACATAATGGTCATAAATGCACTTTATAATCGTCACACAATCGGTTCTAGTTTCCTGATTTGGGAGGCGCAGTGACCCAGTTGGAGCGCACCTGTTGCATTTGCACATGTTGCAGATATTGCGCATGGCACATTCCGGGGATTTACGCTGCGGGCTTCAGGCGTGGCTGTTCTCTGTAGACGGGCCATGTTTGATTGGGCTTTAGTGGTCAGACTTTTCATGTAGACAGTTCTTTGAGTGTCTAGACCAGATATTGAGCAAGTATAGGTTAATTGTGTGCAGGTTTGTCAGGCCCAATATCAGGGCTGGACTGGGACAAAAAAACGGCCCGGGCATTTTTTCCTTCTTACCGGCCCAGGCATGTTTTTGTCACTTTTTTACAGTTTCTTTATACCAGGGATCGGCAACTCAAAAGGTTCAAAGAGCCATATTTGACCAAAAAACTAAAAACATCTGTCTGGAACCGCAAAAAAATAACAGCCTTGTATAAAGCTTATATGAAGGTTACACAATGTAGCTACATTAGCTACATTAGCCTATTATCTAAATGACCAAGTAAAGGCTACAAATACATGATTAGCATTCATGATTATCAAATATGTGTTTTCACTGCAGCGTGTCCTGGAGAGAATGACGCACCACGTGATGACTCTGCTTTAACTTTGACTTCCATTTTTTTGCCTTCATGCAACTGTAGAAATACAGTAAATAAATCTGCTTTTTGGCTCAAAGGTCACACACCTGCACTGTCCGCTCATATCGATCACGTCACAGGCTGAAGTTTGCTGGAGCTGAATGTCCTTTTCTTTCACAGTCTTTGCGGAAGTTTTTGAAGTCTGAAAAAAGTGCTCCGGATTTTGTATGAAAGAATCCTTCACGTAATCCCTGTGAACGGTATTTAGTGCTTCATTGTTCCTCGTGTTGCAACAAAACTTCCTATTACATCGCAAACATGAAGCAGTCCTTCCTCATTGACTGAAAGCAAATGTTCAGTCTTGTTCTTAGTCCAGTCTTATTATCGACTCAGCAGCGGCCGCCTGGCGCGGGGCCGCGCCACAGGATATGACGCACTACGTTGACAGAAATGTTGAAATTGAATATTACTTATACACATTTTTACAGCATTGAAATACGTTAGGAATGTTTTTCCTCCTACAGAAACCACATTCAAACTAGGAATAAAATATAGCCCTCCCACTCCATTTTCAGACATTTTTGAAAAGGCTCCAGGAGCCACTGGAGGAGCACTAAAGGTTGCCGACCCCTGGTCCTATGTGGAAGCATACTGAGGATCAGGATGTCTGTGGTTTCAACAAAAAAATAAAGTGCAATAGTCTACATTACAAGAGAGTAATAAACATGTCTCAGAGTGAGGGAGGTGGACAAAGACAATACTATTGTTTGTTACAGGGATGAGAATTGGTCAAAAAAGTCTGAAATGCATATTGTCAGCCATTTGCTGGCTCTAAATCTGTTTAATCTGTTCACAACATTTTACTTTTGGGCTCAAACATGAACTTTTAATGCAATGGAAAATTTAGGTACCCGGGCTTTAATTTAGTCGCACTTCGAGAGGAGAGGGGAGACGCGGACTTTTTCCTGCAGCGGTGTATTTATTGGGTGCACAAATTACGCAAAGACACGCATGGTCCTGTGCGCGTTTATGGTCTTGGGTATATGGTCACGTTGCGGCTACGCTCACCGTGTTGTGTTGTGAGCGGTTCCCGGTGAGTGGTTCCCGCGTCCAGCTCAGAGCCGCTGGATGCGGGAACACTGCGGCCGCTGAGGTGGTGGAATCCCGTTCGAGTACATACAGCAGGTGCCCCGCGGACACGCGCGCTCCCTCGAACAGTTCTCAACGGATTTACACTTTTCACAAACATTTTTTTTGTATGAGGCAAACAGACCGGCCCAAATATGGGCATCGGCCCTTCGGGCATTGCCCGGTACGCCCGATGGCCAGTCCAGCCCTGCCCAATATCTTATGATGTAGAGCAACGTTTTTTTGTTTGGAGAGCTATTTTTACGCAACAGAATAGGTAGAAAGCTTCTTTTTTGTAGTCATAATAGTGTAGAGTGTTTATTTGGGCATCTGGAAGATACAAAAGCAATCATACAAAAGAGAAGCACAGAAAATACAATGGCCCATAATACATAATACATAATAGAACTGTCGTCTATGTAAAACTGCAAAAAATCATGGATAGCAAAATTTACCATAATAATGTATAACCAGTGGGGAATATTTACAGTCTATGTGTATAACTCTAGATTAGTGGACATAATGAAAACATGTGTAGTTTCATTAAATTAGATATGCAATGACTCCATGTAATAGTTTTGGACCATGTGTCAAATTCCTGAAAGGGGTTGGCGAGCTACTGGTAGCTCCCGAGCAACAGGTCGGAGACCACTGATGTAAAAGATGGAAATGTGGGGTAGGGCCATAAGCTTTGGCCTCTATATACTCCCTTTTGTGCATGTGGATGTATTTGAAATGTTGAAATGATTGTATAAGAGTGTGAGTATGAATATTTTCAGAGCCCTATCTGATCAGAAAACCCCCCAAAAAACCGTTTACTGTTATCCTTGAGCGGTCTGATTGATGTAACCATATTGTTGGGACCATGTAACCTGTTAGCTGTTCTATGGAAGCATTAATGTATAGTCCATTCAAAAGATGAATGGCGCTCAGATGTGTGTTAAAAGGAGTGTTTTATAAGGCTTGATTGTCTTGTGATTGCACAAATGGAGAACTACACAAAGTGCTATTCAAAACAGTTGCTATGATGTGGTACAGGACTTCAACATGAGTTGCCAGGGGCAATGATTCTCATGACCATGGTTATAGAAAGTGTGTGTGGATTTCCAAGCTTTCATACGTTTGTCTTGTGATGTGGTTTTAGGTTTTTTAATTGTACCTTGTTTTTTGTCTAGCGTGAGTGTATCTCAGTCCATGTGGGTCAGGCTGGAGTGCAGATCGGAAATGCCTGCTGGGAGCTGTACTGTCTGGAGCATGGGATCCAGCCTGATGGACAGATGCCCAGTGACAAGACTCCAGGAAGAGGAGATGATTCCTTCAACACATTCTTCAGCGAGACTGGAGCTGGGAAGCATGTGCCCCGAGCTGTGTTTGTGGACCTAGAACCAGCCGTCATTCGTAAGTTTGACTTTTTAAGTCTTAAAATCCTCTTAAGCATATGCCGTTCATTAGTATGCCCTGTACCAAACAATTGAACCTCTAAATCACCATTATAGTTATGGAATACTGGGCCTTTTTAACAAATCATTTATGATTACAACAAAGCTGATCCTTCCACAGATGAGGTGCGCACTGGAACATACAGGCAGCTGTTCCACCCTGAGCAGCTGATCACTGGGAAGGAGGATGCTGCAAACAACTACGCTCGTGGTCACTACACCATCGGCAAAGAGATCATTGACCTGGTGCTGGACAGGATCCGCAAACTGGTAAAAACGTTACATTTTTACATTGATTTCACGAATTCTGACCTTGTCACTGTCCACAGGCCGACCAGTGCACAGGGTTGCAGGGCTTCCTGGTGTTCCACAGCTTTGGAGGAGGAACTGGCTCTGGTTTCACCTCACTGCTGATGGAGCGTCTTTCCGTGGACTATGGTAAGAAGTCCAAGCTGGAGTTCTCCATCTACCCTGCTCCTCAGGTGTCCACTGCTGTTGTGGAGCCGTACAACTCCATCCTGACCACCCACACCACCCTGGAGCACTCCGACTGCGCCTTCATGGTCGACAACGAGGCCATCTACGACATCTGCCGCAGAAACCTAGACATTGAGCGTCCCACTTACACCAACCTGAACAGGCTGATCAGTCAGATCGTGTCGTCCATCACCGCCTCTCTGCGCTTTGATGGAGCTCTCAACGTGGATCTGACAGAGTTCCAGACCAACTTGGTGCCCTACCCTCGTATCCACTTCCCTCTGGCCACCTACGCCCCGGTCATCTCTGCAGAGAAGGCCTTCCATGAGCAGTTGTCAGTTTCAGAGATCACCAATGCCTGCTTTGAACCGGCCAATCAGATGGTCAAATGTGACCCCCGTCATGGTAAATATATGGCCTGTTGTCTGCTTTTCCGTGGTGATGTTGTGCCCAAAGACGTCAACGCCGCCATTGCCACAATCAAGACCAAACGATCCATCCAGTTTGTGGACTGGTGTCCCACTGGCTTCAAGGTGGGAATCAACTACCAGCCCCCCACCGTGGTCCCTGGAGGAGACCTGGCCAAGGTGCAGAGGGCCGTGTGCATGTTGAGCAACACCACTGCCATCGCAGAGGCCTGGGCTCGACTGGATCACAAGTTTGACCTGATGTACGCCAAGAGGGCCTTTGTGCACTGGTACGTGGGAGAGGGCATGGAGGAGGGGGAGTTCTCGGAGGCCAGAGAGGACGTGGCTGCTCTGGAGAAGGATTATGAAGAGGTGGGGGCAGACTCGGTGGGAGATGAGGACGAGGAAGGGGAAGAATACTAAACATACACTGGATTATTTCTTACTAAATAAAGCTAATCTGCCAAAGCTTATCTTTTGTCTAATTTACAAGTTACATTAATGCTAAAGATGGGAAAAATGTAAATACACACGATAGTATAAGCAAGTTATAACAATAACTGAAATGTCCTACTGCCAATTACTAAAGTGTGTGCAAAAAATGAGAAGGCTTTAGTGAGAACATGTCAATTGTAAAATAATGCAGTATTGTGCCCAAGAACAGCTCTAGACCTAAAATCAAAGTAATGGAACACCAATCATTAATGAATAGTTTGTGCTGCAGCAAAAGGTTTCCGCAGATGCACTGATTCAAAAGATGCACTGACCCTAGCAACAGATGCGCTGGCCATAGCAACGCGCACCATAGAAAAAGGCACGTGCAATGAGCGTGGCTTTGATATGAACATGAGAAACGGGGAGAAGAGAATACATTTTGCGCGCAGCAAAACAAAGATGTCCAGCATATTACATGTATGTCTGTAAAAATACATTTATAACGAATACACTAATCTGATCTTTTACGCGACATTAATCCTGACTGTGATCCATGGACGACCCCTTTGAGGACAGAATAGTGTTTGTTTTGAAGACGGTGAAAACGACTTTTATGCCCCAGTCCCAGGTCCCATGCAGGAGTTCGCCCAGGGACAGTTATGAGGAGGCTGCAAGAGGCGCTTGGAAGAGACTTTTCTGGACCCCGACAGCGCCTTCCTGTGGTGAATTGGAGTAATGTTAAAACCTTTACTGAGCAATGCTGCTGTGTCTCATTTACCTCTAAACACAGCGATCTTTACTCACCTAAAGGCCTAAATGACCAACAAGGGGATGGTGTCACCAAAACAGCATAGATTATCGGAATTTTTGTTTCATAAATGACCATATTCAGAGCCGCAAGCAGCATCTAATGGCCCTTGCCGCATCTCCCAAAGGAGGTGGCGCTGACACGTTCTAATCCAGGATCTTGCAAAGGATTCATAGATATTGTAAAATGATAATACATATAAGTGAGTGTGCTTCCACTGAATAACATGGAACTTTGGGTCTCTAAGGAAATGACAAAATTGTGATCCTGCTGTGGGCACACAAAACTTATTTACATTATGTGGATCATGGGAGTGTTTGTCACCACGGCAACAAAATAAACAAAAAGTTGAGGGTTTCATTGACTTTTTTTTAATCAAAATGCCAACATAGCATTTATTCAAGTCAGAAGCATGTTTGAAAGTGGTCAACCCAAAAGATGAGTTCAAAATGTGTGGATCTTTAATGGACCCCCAGACAAGTCTATATAGTATAGTACAAGTTTATTGATTTAACTCCAAGTCAATATATAAAAATATGACAATATATTAAAACAAATATTCTTTATCACAGAAGTCTCTCGGAGAAGTCCCAAATAAGTGAACACAACGAGTAATGCGCTACAAACTTCAGCCACACTATGCATGAAGTAGTTTGTGAAAGGGCCGCACACAGATCAGTTCCACCTGTGTCCATGGTGTCAATGGCCAGAACTGAACATTCAGAAAGGTTAGCCACTAATTCAACATTTAAAGTATAAAATATTACAACTCTTTTTCAATAGATGTCAACACATTTCCTAGCTGACAGAAACACCTCTTTGATGATTTAATCTTGATAATTTTTTCAGTCGAGATTCTAGTTATATTTTGGCTCAAAAAAAATATTTGAGGTATTAGAAAGGCATTGTTCACTCATGTGTATCCCTGTTTATTCTATCATATAGTATAATATATATTCTATTTTACATTGTAGTTTGATAGTATGTTATTTGTAGGACGGCCACACATACATTCAGTGAGGACTGGTATCATGCTGATGAATCTAAGTAAAAAGTTGCATTTCTGCTAAAAATCTTTTTCTTATCATTGGATATTTACAGATATACAGAGAAACATAAAACATTCAGGGAAAATTAGGAAAGTCACTCCCTTGACTCCCTCTGACTGCTTTTGGAACCAAAAACTTTTAAACATTTAAATTCTTCATATTCACAAACTTGTTGAGCCCATTTTTTTAATCATCAAAACAGTATTCTACACAGCTCTGAATGACTTGCTTTTTGAATATTTGACTTTTTTAGAGATAGTAGTTTCTGGTTAAGGTGCACTTTGTACTCCCATAGATGTAAACATCATGGGTTAGCGTTTTAGATTCATGCAGTAAGAATCTGGAGCAGTCTTCTTGAAAAAGCAAGACAAACCTCTTTTCCAGGAGGGGCAAACCAGTTCCAGAAAGGGCCGGTGTGGCTGCAGGTCTTAGCTCCTGCTCAGCTTGGAATAAAGCCCTGCAGACACGCCGGCTCTTGCTCTATTCTGATGCAATATTCTCTCAAAAATACATGTATGGGGAACATGTTTTTTTTTTTGCTTTTGCATCGAGACGTTTTCACCACTTCTGCTCGTCTAAAGGCTAATAAGAATTTTATGTCTCATAATGTGAAAGTGACAGCCAAAAGCCAGCGCCAAAGCATCTTTACGGCTGCTTTCATATGACGTCTGATAAATCATGAATATGACTTTCCGCGTGGAAGTGGCACACAAACGCCGCATGTTGCCACAAGTATTTCCTCAAACATTTGTATCAAGGGAACAATAATCTTTCAAGAATTACTGCAAAAAATACAATGTTAGTTGATGTGCATATGAAAGCAGCATTAGTCTGAGGAAAGCCGTTTTAAAGCTGAACATTTGTGGATATGAACCAAACTGAGAGCTACGGTTAGAATACCGGAGGACTGACTTAAATATCCACTTCTTATTCCGCCGTGTAAAAATCAGAGCATTTCAAAGTACTTTTATCATTGTAAATTTTGTTAACTCATTACCACGTCATTGAGTAAACTTTTAAAGTAAAAAAAATAAAAGGTTACAGGACTTTCAAATATAAGATACTGTCTTGAAGGTTATTTTCTAGATTATTCTATCGGTCACTCTGATTTCAGGGATGTTCTGATACCGATACTGACAAAAGCAAAGCTATAAAAACTGCTATTCAGTCACAGATTTTAGTCCAGGATTTTCTAGAATAATAACCAAGTTTCAAGTCATTTTCATTGTGACCAGTTTTCCTACAGAAATAATCACACAATACGTGGTATCGGTATCTACACCACCAGTATCAGTATTGGAACCGCCCTGCTCATGAGACCTAGTTTAAATCACAAATTTTTCTCAGCATGAATGAGGTAAGACAGTTTTTGACCCCATTGTAAAAAAAAAATTGGAAAAGCTCATGAAATAAAGAACAACATGTTGAATTCCGGTGGTTTGTAATCAGCTAGAGCTGCGTGTTTGTGGCGAGCGGTCTCAGAACTCTTCGTGGACGTTGCGGGCGTAGTCCATGAGTTTGCTGCCGGTGAAATACTCGCTGTACTTGAGGATCTCCTCCAACTCCAGGTTTCGGTTCTGGTTCTCGTCGGCCACAGCAATCATCTGCTTGGCCTCGTTCAGAGCGTTGTGCTCGTTCATTGGGTCCATGTACTCCTGAAAACAGATACAATATTTTTGAACTCGATAATGATCAAAGACGACTTCATTGCTCAAGTGTAGAGATGTTCGCAGCCAAACCACAACAGACTGGAACAAGTTCATTCATTAGAATAGTTGTAAGCCATTTCATCAGTTTTGAACCTTACACATAAGTACACTTGCTACAAAGAGGACAGGGAATTGTGAGAATTAATGCATTTTTTAAAACATGACATTCAAGGAATTAATTGCTCCACTAATCGATAATAAATAAATCAAAGCCAATTGGATGTTAACATAAAGCGATGGTAGATTTTCCTGGTTACAGCACGGTCTCGTGCACGTCGTTGCAACGAATCCCATCCATGAGCAAGACCATAGTTCGAACGGCCCCCCATTTTGCACAGCTGGGTAATTAATTAATTTTTATTTATTTTTTAAATCAGTAACAAATGAAAAGAGTTACAGCTTGTTAACACGTCACATAAATCAATGGATCTATTATCAACGCGTACGTGTATTACATGTTTAGCGCATGCTATGTCTGTATCACACACTGACACTGTCAGTAGTTTGGCTCGTGTTCCCCACACAGGTCCCCACACAGTTCTCATACCTCCAGCTCCTCCATGGTCACGATGCTGTCCCGGTTTGCGTCGATCACCTCTTCAAATTCCTTCTTGCGCTCGCGGACCCAGTCATCATCGATGTCCTGGGCCTGCTGGTTCTCCACCGTCCCCATGGGCAACGAGATGAACTCAGACAGCGTGAGCTTCTTATCTCCGTCCTGGTCTGAACGCACACAACACATAAGGTCAAACAACATTATGCTATGTTGTAGAGTTGGTTGTTTTTGTTTTAAAACAATAACTAAAATGTTTCATTGTTAAAGATTTTTCTTATTGTTGAAATGAGAAATACAACATTTAAAAACTCAGTTGTATTAGCTTTATGAATTCCCAGGGATAACACAATGCTACTCGTATCGGTATTGGCAAGAACTAAAATTAAGGTACTTGCATCAGTTTTGAAAAAAGTGGTCTCAGTCTCAGAGAGAGATAACTTTCTCTCATTGCATTGTGCCACGTCTCTGACCAATGACATTGACTTATTTGACTACTTATCTACTACATTTCTCTTATCACTTCACAAAAATGCAAATAACTTAGTGATTGTGGAACCATAATATTTTCAGACTAACTTCATGGCTCAAAATTATGTGTAAGTTCTTTGTGTTGAAGCACAACATATTGCAATGAAAATAAATATTTTATTGCCAATTTTGCAAATCCATTTCAAGCTGGTCCTTGAAATCATGGCATTGTTGAAACATATTTGAATTTTTCAAATACTCATTCTTCTAGAGTTGAGAAAATGTGCATTTGTTACCCCAGCTTCTGCAGCAGTATTGTGCGTGAAAAAGCTGCTTTATGGTTGTGTTCAAACATTCATGCATGTAAATACTACAGTGACAGATGTTACAGGATGTTAGATGGATTTAAATGTCTAATTCCCATTTTAGGTATACCGCAGAGTTGAGTTTGCGTTATCATTATCCGTACCCAGGTCTCGGACGATCTCGTTGACCATATACTTGAGCATTCCGCGGCTGTGCTCCGGGTGCAGGAACGACAGGAACTCCTCCTCGTTCAGCAACTGATCAGCCGGAGTATTATCGGCTTGAAACCAGCGATCCTTCAGACTCTCCAGCACCTCCTGAGCTGTGACACACACACACACACACACACGCACGCACACACACACACACACACACACACGCACACACACGCACAAACAAACACAGACAGAGCTTAAACTCACTAGAGTTGCATTCATAACAGTTATCAAGCACAGACATTGGTTCAAAGTATTTGTTGAGCAGGATCTAGGTAGAATTCATGTGACATAACATTCCAAAGAACCTATAGTTTCTTACTTTGTGGGGAGGGCAGCTGAAAACTCTTTCCTGCTGACTATGCAAACTGTCATAAGTCACACTTGTAGTTTATAACCAATTTCTCTAATTCCACATAAAGCAAAAACTGTCACAACTTTCCAAATCTTAAAGTGGTTCTCACCCCCGCTCCTCGGAGCTTACGTTACTCACATTTCCTGTTCAAATCTTCCTCTAAATGGGCGTAGCCTGGAGGACTAAAGGGGGCGTGAATGAGACTGGGCCGTTTACATTGCTCTGGGCGGGGGGCTGCTGACGTCAGGTCTTGCTTCAGACGTCAGGTCTTGCTGCCGCGCCAGTGTTGGCGCCAGATTCAAAATTCAAATGTAGTAATACAGGTCGCCAGCAGATGGCGCCTCACAGACGGTTTTAGGCAGAAAGTTTAACTTTCAACTAATTTGCACCAAAGTGACAGAATTATGACCAGGATATGTAGACAACACTGTTGGACCCTCATTTATACCGTTTATCAGCAAAAAAAAGTGGATTTGAGGGTGAGTTGTCCTTTAATAGTCACCCATGAAAGCTATGGCCTCTTCATTTTCTCACGAAGATGCCTGAAAGTGGTGACAATATTAAAACGCTTTTGAACATAAGAATCACCTTCAATTAACAATCTGAGAAAACATTTGGAGATTTTCCTTTTTAACATTTCATAAAATAAATGTTGCTTATTTCCCATAGAGTTGTATTGGCGCCTGTCCTCCGATTGAAATAAGATAAGATAGACTATTGATCTCACAATGAATACATTGTATTTATAAAACTCCAGAACATGAAAAGAACCCCTTTAAAAACTGATCAAAATCTATGGAATTACAAAATACTTCACAGATGCTGTATTTACAGTAGTTTTTTTCCAATCACTCACAAATGTGAAAGCAAATGTTTAGTCTGCAGATTAACATGAAGAGTTGTGACTCACTGTCTTCGTCCAGTTTCAGATCTTCTCCGTTCTTTATTTTCTCTGCGACCTCTTTCTCATTGAAGCCTTTACTCGCCAAGAACTTTACTCTGTATTCATCCCAAGTCACGTGACCTGAAATACACACCGGGAAAAAGGGAAGCATTAACGGTAGAAAAATAAAAATCTTTTGCAATCCAGTTTGAACTACACTAAAAGCATGCTGTTGTGGTTATGTACAAATAAAATAAAAGGCAGACGCTCTACTAAGGCCCCCACTCCCCCGACTGCGTAAAACGTACTACATATCCGTCTAAACGTGTTCGCTTCATCTCCGTTTCCGTTTTCTCCATGAGGGTGAATGGAAGTGGCTCCACTGCCGGTGACATGCGTCCGAATGACGCGCGTAGGGAGCAGTCCGTCCACGCAGGGTGCAACGGACGCGGACGGACGAAAAAGAAACAATCCTATTTTTTTTACGTACGTCGACGCGTGTCTGGTCCGTTTTCCATTGGAAATACAATGGAATAATATATTTACTACATTATTATACATGTATTGCAATATGCCTATAGTCCTTGGTTATAAGTGTTTGTTAATGACAATGATTATTAACAAATGTGTGTATTATTTTTTCATGTATTAAATTCAGATAATTGTTTCCAGATCAATATTGACTCAGTCAAGCTCTTCTGTCCTCCACTCGTTACCTGTATTAATGGCACTTGTTTGAACTGGTTATCTGTATAAAAGACACCTGTCCACAGCCTCAAACAGTCAGACTCCAAACTCCACTATGGCCAAGACCAAAGAGCTGTCGAAGGACACCAGGAAAAGAATTGTAGACCTGCACCAGACTGGGAAGAGTGAATCTACAATAGGCAAGCAGCTTGGTGTGAACAAACAAACAAATGGGAGGAATTATCAGAAAATGGAAGACATACAAGACCACTGATAATCTCCCTCGATCGCAAGATCTCATCCTGTGGGGTCAAAATGATCATGAGAACGGTGATCAAAAATCCCAGAACCACACCTGGTGAATGACCTGCAGAGAGCTGGGACCAAAGTAACAAAGGTTACCATCAGTAACACACTACGTCGACAGGGAATCAAATCCTGCTGAAGCCAGTGCATGTCCAGGCCCGTCTGAAGTTTGCCAGAGAGCACATGGATGATACAGCAGAGGATTGGGAGAATGTCATGTGGTCAGATGAAACCAAAGTACAACTGTTTGATATAAACTCAACTCGTCGTGTTTGGAGGAAGAAGAATACAGAGTTGCATCCCAAGAACACCATACCTACTGTGAAGCATGGGGGTGGAAACGTCATGCTTTGGGGCTGTTTTTCTGCTAAGGGGACACGAAGACTGATCTGTGTTAAGGAAAGAATGAATGGGGCCATGTATTGTGAGATTTTGAGCCAAAACCTCCTTCCATCAGTGAGAGCTTTGAAGATGAAACGTGGCTGGGTCTTCCAGCATGACAATGATCCCAAACACACCGCCCGGGCAACGAAGGAGTGGCTCCGTAAGAAGCATTTGAAAGTCCTGGAGTGGCCTAGCCAGTCTCCAGACCTCAACCCCATTGAAAATCTGTGGAGGGAGTTGAAAGTCCGTGTTCACTGCTCTCAAGAAGATCTGCATGGAGGAATGGGCCAAAATACCAGCTACTGTGTGCGCAAACCTGGTAAAGACCTATAGTAATTGTTTGAACTCTGCCAACAAAGGTTATATTACCAAGTATTGAGTTGAATTTGTGTTACCAAATACTTATTTTCCACCATAATTTACAAATACATTTTTAAAAAAATCCTACAATGTGAATTCCTGGATTTTATTTTCACATTCTGTCTCTCACAGTTGAAGTGTACCTATGATGAAAATTACAGACCTCTGTCATTATTTTAAGTGGGAGAACTCGTACAATCGGTGGCTGACTAAATACTTTTTTGCCCCACTGTGTATATATATATATATATATATATATATATATATATATATATATATATATATATATATATATATCGGTGCATCCCTAAAAAACAAATATTTTTGTGCACTTTACTTTTCAAAAAGCCAATATTTGCATAGCTTACATTTGCATGTTTTTTTGTTTAGGTCCTCGGCCCTGTTTGTGATCAAAGGGATGGAAAATATTTAAATATTTTTTATCCGATTAATCAAAGAAATAATCGACAGATAAATCGATTATTAAAATAATCGTTAGTTGCAGCCCTACTGGATATGTTGGAGTTCTTTTCTCTTTTCTCTCTCCACCCCTTTTTACCAATTGCTTTTAGCAAAGTTTTGCCTCACCCATCGCTACGTCCTCGATGCTTCAATATGCCGTGCTTTGCATAGATCATAGCCACAGCTCATGCAAATCACACACCGCTTCTTCTATTTAAAACAAAGCCTCACGGGGTGCTGATAAACGCACAGCCAGAGCTGAAGCCGTTGTGGCCACTATTCCGTTTTACGTACGTCTGATGGGCAGCAGAAGACGCGGCCGGTGGAATTCAGCACTAAGCCTTTTGAAAGTAAAAGGTAGAGCATCCGTGTGTAAGCCTTTAGTTTTGGCCAATTACTTTGTGCATTTGTGTATGTTACTTTGTACTACATTGTGACTAGTGCTTCAATTGTCATTTTTGCCAATGAAAATCATTTTGACAAAAAAGTTATTTTTTTCTGAAATAAAGTATCATGGTCTCATTTACAGTTATCATCAGGTTGTGTGTTTCTGTGTTTTACCGTCTTTGTCTGGGTCGACTGCTCTGAAGCTGTTCTTGTTTTCCATGGTGGCCTCCTGGAAGTGCTCCTCCGTCTTCTCCATGATCCAGCGTTGCATCTCTTTAGCACTGATGCTGCGATCTTTGTTAAAATCCACTCTAACAAAGATAAATGTAAGAACGGTTCATGCATGTATACATCATTGCTCAAACTATACAAAAACTACAGCCACTGCTCCTACTTTGCTGAATCATCTAAGCATCAAGTCTAAGAAAAAAGATCTCAAATGTTGCAAATGTATTTTTGCTTAAATAAAATATAATTAAAAAACGCTGATTATTGGAGAGCTGCAAATACATGTGGCACTTTTAAGTGTACACGTCTGCGGTGAAGGGGCAGGGACCAAGATAGACTACTATACTGTCAAAGAAAACACATTATGAAAATGCTGGAGCGTGTAGCTTAAGCCTATTGTCTCTCATAATCACCCACACTTTAAAAATAATAATGCATCGGTTTTATATAGCGCTTTTTTGGACACTCAAAGACGCTTCACATGTGTCATTATTCATTCACTCCATACACGGTGGTGATAAACTACTACTGTAGCCACAGCTGCCCTGGGGCACACTGACACTGACACACTTTAAAAAATGTATGTAAAATATTGTTCTAGTCTGTAGTGATCGTCGGTAAACATACAAAGGCGGGGCAACATAGACACAGCACCTGACAACAAGGGAATCACCCCATTGGTCTAAATTAAATCCTTGACTACAAACAGATGCCTTACTTTACGATCAGGAGGTGAAAAATATGCATTCTCTAAAATGTCAAAGACTAACTGAATACTTTAAATACATGATCAGTAACTCTTACTTTGTGAAAATGTCAATTAGCTTCTTCCTGTTGCGTCGCGGCTCTGAGTCCTCATCAAACTCCTCCATCTCTTTGCCCAAAAACACCTCCTGATGGAAGTCTTTGTTCAGGTGTCCATCCATCTCCAGCTTGACCCCGTTGATGTGGTCCGGAGGCAGGATCTCGTTCTCGTCTTTGTTGTCCGGGGCCTTCTCTTTGGCGGAGGACATGTTTGCGGGGCGAGCGTTCACGTTGATCGAGTGAAGGGCGAGGAACAGAAGCACAGACAGCGACAGGAGGTTTCTGCGCAACATCTTTCTCCAAACCGCCATTGCTGTTGAAACAAAGCAGAGTATTGTGAGGGAGAAATGGCAAATGTTTAACTTAGAGACAAGGCTTTTCTCAAATATTGACAAACCATGACAAATGTGGGTGTACAGGGATATATTAGGTTCAAGAAATTGACCAAATACTTGAAACTTAAATTTGGCCTCAAATTATCGGTAGTTCTTATCAGCTCTTCTGTACTTGCAACCAAGCATAACTATAAACTGTTAAATCACCAAACCCTATGTGTTAAGTTTGACTTCCAACAAAAAGCAATAGAATAGAACAAGTAAGATTTGTAATAATCAAGGTATTTTTTTTCCCAGAGGTAGTTTATAAAATAATTTGTGTGACAATAAATATCAAAGTTTACAACCATTTAAAAATAAAATCCTCCTGTGATTCCTAGACCCTATTCAGTCCTGACTACGTCCTTGTAGCTCAGGCCATGAATAACTGATGAGAGTAGCACAAGATAACAGGATATTAGCTGGATACGGAGTTTCAGCAATTACAACACATTTCCAAGCAAAGAATACAGCTTTTTTTCACTTCATCCAGCGAAACGTGTCCAGCTCACCAATAGACATTTCTGAGAAATGACGCAGACTGCCAGGTATGAGAGGAACACTACTCTAGTAATACTTCCTCACTGGCAAATTACACATAATTAAACAATAGCCGGATTAGAAACGTTTGGATAGCATAATGTGCATAGTTCAGATCCTCAAAACACTGTCAGATCAATTAAATAATTACATTTCAAACGTAGCCATGATAAAAGTAAATAATTCAAATGTTAACCTAGAAGCAGGGTAACTGTGAGAAAGCTGAAGTTATACCAAAAAATCGAGTTACACAACAACTAGTAAATGTTTAAAGTTATGAAAATAGTTGAATTATTTTACAGATTCACATTTTAATTGATCTAAAGTCTAATGAAGATGAACTTCCTTAATACAGACCTGCGTTGGTCCAAATAGCTGTCAGTTCCTGCATACGTGGCTATTGCGCAGAAATCCTGGCATAAATGTTATAATTTACAAATCAGGGAAACAGCAATAGGTCGTTGATAAGTAAAAGTACAGTCTATGGAGGGTTTGATTCATTTGAGCTCTAAAAGGAGCGATCTTGGAGCTAGCATACCTGTTCCTTCAGTGACGTGTGGTGTTGGAAAAAACAGCTGGAAACTTCCGGGCAAGACTTTCAACAAAAAAGAAAGGACATTAAAATACAAATCCACTGTTAGGTATTAATCAGTATTATGGTCGTATTGTTTATTATAAATTCCATTGAATAGAAAAAAATTATAAAATTAAGTTTATTATTTAAGCTGTACTGAATAATGTGTTTTCTGGTAACATGGTCCCTTTTATTTTGAAATCAAAGGCGTTACTAGAAAAACGCAAACAAAATTGGTCCATATTCTGCTATTCTTTATGGCCTTTAGATGACGCTGTTTTACCAGTTATGTGTAAGATAAGAACAGCATTTTCGCAGGAGAAAAAGCCAAACTGAGATTCAGGTGATTTTAATGACAGACAGTTAGAAAGACTAAAATTAAAAACAATTTCCCAGACAAGAACATTTAAATGAATAAATAACGTATCAATTTGAGCTTGCACAACTAGAAATAATGTGTGTTTGTCTCAATGAGATGTTTTCCATGCAATTCATGCAAAACATTGCTTTACAATTACATAACGCATTGGATTGTACAAGATTAAATAGGGCAGCATTCGGGAAAAAAGCTTTCTGTTTAGCCTGCAGAATGCATATTGAGAAACTGACTTTTTGCTCCAGAATGATGACCAATGATCGGGAAAAGAAGGTGACATTACCCAAGTCTTTTTGTTTGCCTATTACATTTTTGCGTGCAATGTTTGAGAACAACATCATCATATAATTTAGCACAGTATTATTGCTTTTTTGGACCTTCAAAGATGCGTCACATGGAATTATTCATTCCTTGTGCACCAAGTGGTGGTAATAGTGGTGCAACAGGTGCCATGTGAGAGGCTACCAATCTACGACATCGGCAATCTACGACATCACAGATACCAATCATTCATGCACGCTGCCAGACTGATACAAGGCAATGGGTGTGAGTGACTTGCCTAAGGACACAACAACAGTTGTTGACTCTAAAGTCAAAGCTGCCCCACTGTGGCACATGATGCTCCCAGAGGTCTCCCATCCCAGTTCTAACCAAGTCCTGGCCTAATTAATTTCAAAGAGCTGACAGGATCAGGCTTTCACACGGAGTATGGCCACAACTGGTTTCATGTGTGACTTGTGATGAATTGTAGCCAAGTCCATATTGGGGGGGGGGGGGAAATAAAATGAATAGTAAGTAAGTAAGTAAGTTTGTATTTATATACCGCCTTTTCACTGCAGATCTGAGTCTCAAAGCGGTTTACAATTGTTAATTTTGGGCATTTGTCTCTCACTCCACACAGAGATGGGAGCGGGGCCAGTACAGGAGGCGCATGCCAGAACTATTGGACATATTTTTAGTGGTAGGGGAAACCGGAGTACCCGGAGGAAACCTACGCAGACACGGGGAGAACATGCAAACTCCACTCAGAAAGGCCCTGGTCCGGCCGGGATTCGAACCCAGGACCTTCTTGCTGAGAGGCGAGAGTGCTATCCACTCAGCCACCGTGCCACCGTTGTCTGCAAGACATGCTTGCAGACAACGACGTAATTACTGAGACCATAGAAATCACAGACTTTGAGTTTAATCCCTGATGATGCTTTAGGGTTCAAGTGAACGCAAGTGAAATGCAAAAACAATTGGATTCAGATTACAATTGTAATTGTTGTCTTTTCTCTATATTTATCAACCTGACTGTATATGTTTGTGTTTGTATATTTGTTGTTGTGTCACTTACGATACTTATGATCTAGCTCTCCACCCCTAATTATTAGGACAAATAGACTTTCACCATTGTAAATACATAATTTCAATGATTTGTGTTGTTCAGTAAGTGTGTGGGTGTGTGTGCATGTGTCAGCTCTCTGGGTCAAACCACCAGAAACTCCTTTTGTGATATTAATGGACAATGATTTACAATATTATAAATAATGACTTCCAATGACCTTTTTTCATTCTTGTGATTCAACTGAGATAAAACAGTGCTGAATAAACGTACAGTATGCCAATGCAGAGTGAACAGAAGACATGCATGTACACGCACACTCACACACACACACACACATGCAGAGGAGGGAGGAGAGAGGGCTGATGATAAAACTCGAGTGTGAGCTCTGCTGTAAACCCACTCAGAGGCACACAACAAGACTGCAGCATCAAGAGGACTTCCCTTTTGGACAACTCAAACCAAAACAGCATTTTAACTGATTTTTTTTACTATAGACTTTGAGGATATCTGTGAAGAAGTTCAGGCTAAGATCCAAATTGGCTCTCATCCATTTTTTGTGAGACAATTTTAGACTTTCACATGATTTTCAATGCAAAACCTCACCAGGTACTTTCAGAGGAGCACACATTTTGAAGACAATTGTCATTTTACATCCTGAGTTGTAGTGAAAGAGGATTCATCTGTATAATAGCTGTGGCAATCCTGATTTGGGACACCCCTTTCTACAGCCCCCGTCCACCCCCCCGCAGAGCAGAGAGCGTGAAAAATCTCACTAATGGGTTTATTTGCTGTCAGATCTTCGCCGATGTGTCATTCCGCCGGAGCATTCTCCTGGACCCATTTCATAGTTGAGTAAGTTGTGCGGTCATCAGTGGCTGCAGTTTCACTTTCTCACCAAAAAGAAGCAGAGAAAGTTGCCAGATAAGTCTTGCAGCATCTTCAAATTTTCTTTGGCAGTTGCTTTATTGACAATATGAGGTGCGGCGTGGGGCCCTGGGCGATTGCTGTCGCGTTGTCCTGGACATTGATTTTGAATGGAGTCCAAGCCAAAAAGGAGAGGAAGAAACTGAAAGAAGGAGCTCCACAGAACACAGAAAACTTCAATGCAACAGTGTCCAACAGTGAAGAGGTGGAGGGAACTGTCAAGGTATGGATCTCAACCAATTATAAGTCTGATTTGTTTTTTTTTCATATTTGATTTATTGCTGGTGCCAAGGTCCATTATCTTGCTGTTTTTTACATGTGAAATCCCAATATTGATCTAAAACAACTCAACAACAATTGACAATTTATTTATTTGTTACTGCCAAAAAGACTTCTCCACTATACAGACTTATTGATTCCTCAAAGTTGCACAATACTATAAACATGCACTGTTATTGGGTGGGGTAGAATCTGTCCATCTTTCTGTCTGTCTGTCCATTGACGAATGCTGGATCTCCATAGATTTTACTTGTGACTGTAGGTAAAAAGATAAAAAAAACACACATCTCCAGATAGGCAATCATCATGACATAAAAGTTCTATCGGGTCATTTCTATAAGATAAACAGAATGTAAAATTAATAATGCAGTTGATTGAGTAAAAGTGAATAGGTTTATATTTTGATTCTGCAAATTCAGATGAAGAGATCCTTTATTCGTCCCACAGTGGGGCTAAGTCAGTGTTGCATCACTGGTTACAGAAGAGTAGGAATGAGGAGCACACAACACAAGATAAATGAACAATTACTCAATACTGAAATGAAATAATATAAAAATCTCTAAAAAATAGCATAAGAAGAAGCAAGTATAACATTTCTTTCTTTAACATAATAAGGACGGAAAATGCATATTGTTGCCGATATGTGACGTGCTTATAAACTTACTCAAGTCATCATTCATAACCATCAACTCTTAAATCCCAAACAATTATGATATTCTTTACATTTTTACTGCTTTGGAAAATTCAAAAAAATGTTGCATGTATCATGGCAACAAGGCATGTGCCGACTTGATGTGCATTATTTATGTATGAGACAGAGCCATAGAACCGTGTGTTGACGTCAGGCTGATGGTATGCCACATGTGTCATTTGTTGTTTTATATTTCTCAGATATAATGCACAAAAACTCAGAAATCTATATTGGAAAGTTCAACAAATACATCAAATAAAAACAATATTCCAAACTATTTATTTGGCGACAAAAATACGCAGAACATTACACAGAATGACTTCTTTGTTGCCTCCGAACCAGCCACCATATCACCACCATATTAATAATAAAACCTGTTGAAAATGATTTCCTCATTCCTCAGTTTTGGGGCAGTGCAGACAGGTGTGCCCCGCGGGTCAGGCTGCAGACATGAGCAGGACCCAAACGTGTGAAAATCAAATGGATGAGTTCCGGAAGAATGCAGAGAATGTGACATCTCCGGCCTGATCAATACATCAATTAGTGCTCGTCCCAGAGGGGGGTGTCGGTTCCACGCCTCTGCAGAGGAACCATGTCACAGGGGATAAATCACACACTTCACATGTTTATTGATCTGAGGAAATTAAGAAACTGCGTTATTCGAGTGTTTGGTGCCATGCGGTCTAAACTTGGGGTAAAGTTAGATTGCAGATTGTTGGATGTTTTGATTGCAGTGAAAAAAGAAAAATAGAAGTGGTTTGCATCTTCACAAACCTGACTTGTGCTTGTTGCCACATAAATTGTTTTCATTTGGCTTTAGTCTTCCGCAGTTTGGCGGAAGACTAAAGCCAAGGGAACTTTATATTTCTGTGGAGTTGTGCAAGTGACCTACCACCTCCAAAATATTACATGTTTTAGTACTGTATTGAGGATATTAAGGAATGGAAAGTCATGAACCAAGGCCTCTGATTGTTCTTTACAACTGTGAAAGTACAAATATGACAAGTTATCCAGGTTCAGACCCAGTGTTGTTCCAGATATGAGTCTAATTTGTGTATAAAATGTTCAAAATATCCAATTATCCACAGGTGTCATATAGCTGCAAATGCACAGCATTTTTATTCAATAAACTAAAACTTATACCAGGTATGTCCAAAGTCTGGCCCATGGGCCAATCCCGGTCCTCTTTGTCATTTTATAGGACGCTCCTACTTGCAAACCAAAGTTTCATTGGGATTATAAACACATGTATCATCCAGCCAACTTCAGTTCCGCCAATACATGCGTTCAGAACCACTTGAATCCAGCTGTTTATCCACGTTTATTTGCGATTGTGGCAAGCAATTCTGTGTGTGACGCTAATGTAGCTTGTGAGAAAGTCGAGTCAAGTAAATATGGCCTCATTATAAAGCTCAGATCAGTCCATATCCAGTCAAAAGGCTTTAGTTGTTGAGTTGTTGGCTGCTGAATTTGTCTGTTGAACTGGAGTGCCCCTCTCACTACGTATAATCTGACAGAGGTACAGCCCCCACAATTTGAGAACAACTCCATCCTGCAGTGCCTTTCAATTCCTGTGCTCTCAGTTCTTCTTTTCATTATTTATAGGAGCGTTTCTGCTGCTGAATATTTGTAAAACTTTCCAACAGGCTGTTTGTTTTGCCTTCAGCCCACCCATCGAGTTGGCGTTCTCACCACTGCCTGTGTACCAACACTGCAAAAACTCACGTCCACAGTAGTTAGAATAAACTACATTGAAGTCGGTTATTTTGATTCGATGTAGAGCGAAAAACACATGTCCTGCTTCTAGACCACAGAACAGACTGGTCCTGATCTAGACATGGTTTGGTCCTGATTAGTACCATAACACATTCTGTATCTCATCCTGGGTTAACAGTTTAGTATTCAGTTGGAACAGTTTACTTTCAAAGACTTGCCTCCAGAAATCTGTTCCTTTGAAATACAGAATTCTGCTTACAAATTACAAATAATTTCATATTCTGACCCTTGTAGCTCCTGAATCTGCTTCATACACACAAACATTTCAGTACATTTTTGTATGTTATTTCTGTCATTCAAAGTCAGTTATTGCTTGTGGACTCCACCTTTTGTTTGTTCCCCATCAAATTTCTGATATAGAAAATAAAAATTAACACATTTTAATTCTCATTCATAATTAACAAGGTAAACAAAATCCAAATACATACTAAAGTGCCTGGGTGTCTCATCTCTATGGAGAAGGTGAGGATTGTGATTCATTTGTTTTGCTATTTGACACAATCAATTCTCAAATGATGCTCAAACACACAAACATGACTTTTTTGGCCTGAAAAGTTTCACCCTACAGCTTTAAATCTCTCCATGTGTTTTCATTGTCAACATACAACTGATCTCTTTGCAGATCTGACCAGTAACTTGATTGTGGAGATGGATTTTAATGATAGACTTTGGGACATTCCAGGAAAAACAATGGCACCAGACCATTAGATATAGCACATTTTTAATTCAAGTATTTTCTTTTCCAGCAAACTCATCAGCCCTATAGTGTTGCCCTCAATTTCTTACCCTCTGAACTGTCCTTTGTGAGCGATCGCGAGGTGAGGTCTTCGGTGTCTTTAAAAACACATGAAGGCGGTTGAGGCTTGGACGTGTTTATTTGAACTGATCTGGTGTGAAAACCCTGAGACGTGACCTGGTTTCAACTCGGTCCCAGAGGAGTCCGTGTGTCTGAGTCCAGTGCATTCAAATAACAGTATGGAGTTTGAAGTGACAAGATTTCACCCTTGACATGTGGCGATAATAATATACACCTTACTAAGAATATCCTAATGATTACATATTTGAGGCTGTGGAATCTTTTTAGGCTTTACTTTATGTTGGCGTTTTAGCTCAAGTTCACATGCATGTTGTATTTTAATCAAAACTTATACAGTAAGATCCTTCAAATAAAATGTTTAATTATAATAACGGGTCTGTCTCTGTAACGCAAAAGGTCACAGATGTAAATCCGAAATAGTGCTCAGAACACAACAATGTTTTAGCATACACACGTGAATAATACTTTTCATTTCTATGTATAATCATGAATTGTTTGATTCTCTGCTATACAGGAAATTTGCTTTTAATGTCACTGTTAGTATTTTAGCTATATGTCACTGTTACAATTCGGTTCAGCTTGGATGTAGGAAATAACAAAAAACCAATATGTAATAACAATAAAACTGAGATGTTGAATAAAGATATTGTAAGATAAGAAAACCTTTATTCGTCCCTCAGTGGGGAAATTTCAATAAGGGGGGAGTGGGATGCAACAGGCTGCAGGGTAACTAAAATAATGCGTTGTTTAACAAAGCAGGTAAAATGGATAACATAATGGGTAGCAGATCATAGAGACACAAACTAATTGGCAAACATACTTGAAGCCACTGATGCCAGCTTCCCAGAGCCGCGGAAGATTGACAGGTTGTATGGGCGGGTCCTCCCGGTGAACCCCACGCGGTTGGAGTACTGCCTCTGCTTCTGTCCAATCAGCACCCAGGCATCGCATTCAGTCAGCTCCCAGGGGGAAACGACTGGCCAATCGGAGCCCAGGACTGTGATCTTCTGTAGAGGAGAAAACACAATAGCGGTTTGTTAGCTGTATGTTGCTGTAGCGGTTTGTTAGCTGTATTACGTTTTGTTACCTCCAGGCCATTATTTGTGGAGTTTGCATGCTCTCCCCGTGTCTGCATAGGTTTCCTCAAGGTGCGCCGGTGTCCCCCACCACTAAAAACATGTAAAATAGTTCAGGGATAATGAGTGTGTTTGTGAGTGTGCCTTGGAAGGCAATCGGTAGAGGTGTGTTCATTGACATTCAATGTGTCAACCAAACAAACAATAAATAAAAAATACAAAAACATATGTAAAACAGAAGATACCATCCTGTCAAGGTAATATCTCTATATATCTAGTTATTAAAACAAATTAGCAAAACATCTAAAAGCAGGGGTCATTAACTTCCAAACCACAAAAACGGCTATTAATAGTTTTGACAAGAACATTTTCAGAGGAAAAAGTGAAAACCGCTGTCACTCAGCCAATCAGCTTGTTCTGCTCTGAAGTTAAGTGCCCATGCTTCAGTATTTTAAACAAACAATTCTTCAAATAATCAGTTTCCACATGCTATATCCTTTTGGAACCTACTGTGAATAACTCAGAACGCCTTTGGGACTTGTTTCTTGTTCCGCTACGACCATTCAATATTTGTTTTGGCATAAATAATATAAATGTCAAACAGTTAACACTTGGGAAACTTTGTTTCCCCCCGGCCGTTTGTCAGTCCCTCCCCACAGTGAGGTGGGCTCCCATTGATCCTGTCACTCATGAAGCAGCCCTGTCTCCTCTGTGTCTGGGACATCTGATAGGGGCACTGGGGCAGCTGAGAGCTCCTCACAAAGTCCCACACAGGGGCTGCATGGACTGATTGTGTTTTTTAACCTTTATTTAACCAGGAAAATCCTACTGAGATTCAAAGATCTTTTCAAGGACAATATGTACTAATTATATCCTAGATAATTAGAGATGCATCATTATATCAATATCATAATCATATCTGTATTTAAACATTACCATTACCCAAGCTGCTGTGTCCAGTTATACAGTTTGTGAGTGCATTTTTTAATATGTACTTTTGATCCATATAATTGAGTTAAAAGTGAAATCAAAATATTCAATTCCCCCCAGAAATATCCACAATATAAATGAATAGTCAAGGCAAAACATGTTTGAACACACATATACATGTTACATTTGTGTATACACATTGATACAAAACCAGCATGCCAATCTTTTTTTTTTTGCTTGTGAAGAATGCTTGAGTGAGGTGTCTGTCTAATGTTGAAATCTAATTCAACTAATTTTGGTCACTGTGAAGACACTTATGTATCATGTGTTGAGCCTGAGTATTAAATCTCAGAGCGCCACTTCTGACTGACCACCATGTGAAGTATTTTTCTTTTTTGTGTGAAATTTCAGTTAAAGTATAATCTTTCTCATGAATCCAAGTAGGTGCCAGACGCCCCATTCGAGTATTAGATCAAACTTCTTGCATTACCATACACTGCCCAGGGGAAAACACATCTATTAGAGCTGTCCTGGCATGACGGAGTGTTCACAAAGAGGCCAAACATTTAAACATTTACACTTTTGAGTTTTCCCTGTGCCCAGTGGAAACAGCCCATCATGGCATGCCCCTGTATCGTGTGGGCAGCTGGCATTTCGCTCCCTGCATTCCACAAGAGATTTTCCGTTTGAAAGTCATCGCAAAAGGTGAAGACTGCAGGAATGAACGTTTCTCATCAGAAGGGGAAGAATGTGGAGCACAGATTTCACTGAGGCTTTTGACTGTTTCTCACAATGGCCAAAAGTGTAGAATGATGAGCTGAAGCAAAATCTCCAAGTTCAGGGGACTTCGGGAAAGTAGCTAAGAACAAATACTATACTGAGTTTATTCTATAACTGTATACTGTTGGAGTATTTTAAACTTGTTTAGACAATTTGGTTTTTCAATAGCAGATAAGGCAATAAAAAACTAAAACAGTCTTGGTCAAAGAGACAGAAACAAGAAGGTTCTAGTTTCGAATCCGAACAGGGCCTTTCTGAGTGGAGTTTGGATCTTCTTATATGCGTGTCTACGAAGGTTTCCTCCTGGTGCTCTGGTTTCCCCCACCACTAAATACATGTACAATAGATAGCATCCTAGCTCTGGTCCTGACTACGCAGAGCATCAACATCCGGGGATTGGATCCTGACAGAGGGTTTAGCCTAGTGGCATTGCAGAGTTTACTTTAACCATAACCTTAACAAATACCTAAGGGATTCAAGCAAAACGTACAAATGTCCCGGAATATCCCCTGCTTGTAGACAAAAATAAAATTGCTTTCGCCATTCAATAGTAAATACTTCTAATATACTTATTAAAGCCAATTTGAATGCTGTTCTGCTGAGTACAGAAAGTAGAGGAAAAATACATTTTGAGAAAATAACCCTTGAGTCAAAGTTCATATAGATCCACAGATCCAAGCTGTCCACAGCAATTTAAGATATTTTGGCTTCCACCTAAACTCCTAAACATATCCTGAAGAGAGAGGACACCTTGCCACGCCTCCCTCGCCTGTGTTTTCTCTGCATTTTAACCGATGTCTCTGCGTTATGGGGCAATGTGTGGAAACATTCAGCAGCCACACAGTGCAAAGACCTATCTGCAGATCACAACCAAGAAAACATACAAACTGCTGCTTTTATTTGTGCTAACTTTTTTTAAAAATCCTATACATAGAAGCAAAACATGAATGTACATAATCTCAAACTCTCTCTCTTTCCTGCTAGTTCTACCTCTTTACAGATACATTTATAATATCTATCGACACAAACAAGTGCCTTCGCCCATACGCAGAGTTACATAAACAACTAAAAGATGCCTCTGCACATGAAGTGAATGTCATAAAAAGCAGAACAATGCAATGCAATGAACAGTGTCAAATAAAACAGAAATAATATACAATTATTCTCCCCTAACGTCATGTAAGATTCACTCACAGATAGTTCATCTTACCTCCCACTGAGAAAAAACCAACTGTGAGGCTTGTAATTTGTCTACAAAACAGATGTTGTGCAGTTATGGGGGTCAGATTTACGTCAGATTACGGTTTCACTCACGGGGAGAGCGTTCCTGAGGCCTGAACTCCATTCTGAAACTTTC